CATTTCTGGCAGGAATGATTCCTGAGGTCCTGACCAGTTTGTCATGACATTCATCAGATTTATTGAAAGGAACAGAATGTTGCCCACAGTGAAACATCAGTTGCTTTGACAATGTGATCATTGAAGATGCAGCTGTATGTTGAAGGAATAATATATTCTGAGTAATCTACAAAGATTACAGTATGGAGAAGGAACCATACGATAGGACATTGACCAATTATGATATTTATGAACCCGACTTGTGCAATGTGAGGGTGATATGAAGGAAATATAGATATGAGGAACCATAGGTTAACTCAAATATACTGTATCTATAGTATATCAGTAATATACTGAATATAATATTTGAGGGAAAGGAAACACCCAATCACAGATTAGGGGGTGCTCCTCACAAAGCCCAAACTCAATCATAGATTAGGGGGTGTGCTATCAAGCACATCAAGCTTACCATAAAGATAGTGAATACACTAGTCTTTTTATGCGAGTATCTGCTTTGTCATCAGATAAACATGATAATGCAAGTATCTTTCAAGGCTTGGCTAGCAGAATGCCATACTGATTTGGCTTGTTAAAGCTTACAATTGATTGATGTGACATTTAGTCCTGAGCATGACAAATAAACTGCATCACATTTATGGCAGTCACCCATATCCGGCTCATTTGATAGCCTACTGTAGACAAACTTCACTGTCTCAGCAAGTCTGTATTCATTTGACATGATATTTCTAAATCAGGAAATTAGCATATAATACTGCGAAGGCAAGCAGACAGACAATGTAACCGAGCCTAGTGAAAGTCAACCAAGATTGCATCCATACTAGTTCTTATATCACAAAGAACCACTGTTTTCCTTAAATGGTTAGAAACCAATAAAACCAACCCAGATTGTGGAGTTATCAATCTGAAGAAGTGCATGACACTTGACTAGCTCAAATATTCAATCAAGTCTCACATACAAAATCTTCACTCGATCGAATATCTTCACTTTGCATAGTATCTTGTGAAATATACTGTGACAAATAGGGCAGACACTGTCCTTGAAACAAACTCCCTGTTTCTAAATACTTTAGTGAAGTAAGGGCAAGCACCGTGCTTGAAACAAATTCTTTGTTTCTGAAGCATTTGGACCTGGGCAGCTTTGAGTGCCCTATGGCATGTGACTTTGCATGATTCAAAAATCATATACTGGTCGAGATTCGAACTTGGTACTTCACCCATTCAAGTGGCTTAGGGGCTAAGCCATGATGTCCAAGTTCGCCAGAGACCACCTGACTATACTCAAGGTCAGCCTCGACCCCCCTTGAGTGCACAGGTTCATGTCTCAGCAGGAACAAAGATTATCACGACTTAATCCCTGACTCGACAGCCATAACACAGAAGCACGAAGTCCACAAGGACTGAAGATTGAAAACCTGGATAAATCTACCACGGAGTGGTACACGAACAGTTGAGTATCTTTTTTGCGATACATCCATGCATCGTATAATGACCTAGTGCATGTCTTTAAACTGCAAGCACCATTTGGCAGCTTTGAGCGCCACCATTTTGACCTAAAGCAAGTCTTTAAACTGCATCACCTGTAGATACCAGAGGTTCTAGACCCGGTATATGGGGTCTTTACCCACATGTATATATACCAGGTAGCTACACCACAATCTATAGTGACTTCTCCACTGAGAGACTTGACCCCTTAACTGGGAGTCTTGTAGCCTTGCCTACTAAGTCCTCAGCTTGCTATGTGTCCTTGCACATGCTGCACTAGCATGTAGCTTCTTTATCACTGTATTTAGCAGAACATTGTATTATGGCAAAGAAGACTATTGAGAAGCGATCATGTGTAACAGACCATGTTTTTATTATCAGAGGTATTCAGGATAGTTTAGTGTAGATTGCCACAGAGCTAAATCTACCATGTGCTTTGTTGAGAAGAGTAGGGTGTGCCATTTTCAGAGGGTCTTCTAAAGTTGAAGTATTCCCTGTAACAATTCCATCATTATACCATGTTTGATTATTGATGTCAACAATCCTGGCAGTGAAATGAAACCCACCAAAATAAATAATACCACACAAGCGAAATTTTGTACCTTGTTCTCCGATGTACACAGCAGGATCTAGTTGAATCTGCTTCTGATTTGTTATGAATGCTAAGAAGTTAGGGATGTTAGCAAATACATATCTTCTGACCAGCCTTCCATGACAAGTTTGGCACATCAACTGAGTCTTTTTAGAAAGAAGGGTTTGCAGCCATTCTGATAGTTTTCTGTTTTTTTGAAGAACCCAACTTGACAGAGGACTCTCTCCAGATTGATAAACTGCAGTCCCATAAATCAATAGAAGTGTCTTCTGCATTGATGACAGCATTGCAGTGGTGACAATGAAGTTGGATGGCAATGTTGGAAGATGAAGACTGAAGCATAGCAGAACACAAGCTGTAGATGTCTGTGCCATCTTTTCCAGTGGTGGGAAATGCTGCAGGATCTGCAATGTGTAATTTTGCATGAATAATGTCTCTTGCATCTTCCATAGAACATTGACCTATCTGTACCTTGATAAAAATGTTAGTGAACTTGCGGAGAAAGTCATTCTGGTTGCTGACCAATTCACTCCATTGATCTGGACAATCTTTGAAGACCTTGAGAAGTATGGAGAAAAGGCTATCATAGGCACAACTGTAGTTGTTCTCATCCCATATGAAACCAACAGGGCTTGAGTACAAGGAGAGGGGTGAAGTGGACCTTTTCTTTTTGTCATTGGAGTGTTTTTCATCACTGACACGCTTGCGTTTCACCTTTTTTTCCCATCCTGGTCATTGCTGACCATGGACAAAGTCTTTATTCCCTTTTCAGGCACATATCTGTACACAGGTTTGATTTTCATCAGTTTTTTCTGTGCCACTGAGGCCTTTTGTGCATCATCAACGTGTTTGGAAGGTTTGCCCAGCATTTGCCAGGGACTGTCAGGCTCTGGGTCATCCAGTGGATATGGATCTTCGTTAGACCACTTTAGTGCCTTGTGCATGGTCCCTCTCCATGCTCTGTAGGAAACAATCAAAGCATTTCTGGTTACACCTTTGACAATGTCTGGCAACTTTTTGTTGTATCGAAGGTTTGTGATTTCATCTAAAAGTTCAAGGTCTCTAAATTCTTGTCTCAGTGAACCAGAGATGCCCCTCATCAACTTACGCTCATCGAAGCCTTGAACAATTAGGGTTCCTTGATATGTAGAGCCCTTAGAGAGACAGGTGTATATGGACTGATGAGACTTGCAATTTTGGAGATCACATACATTGTCAGGCCTTGTGCGACCTTGGGAGGTGAAGTCGGTCATAGCAAAATTAAGTATAACTGCGACTTGGTCTCTTACAATGGAGACCGTTCGATCATTGGGCATGATGCATGCAATTTTCATCAGCTGGTGACTAATAGGGACTACATTTTCAGGTAGTCCTTCCAACTTGATGGGTGTAGGAGCAGAGGTTAGTTGAACAAAGAGGGTGTCTAGGGCCAGCTTGTTATCCTCCAAAGGTCTCGCCTTCCACCCAGCCACTACGCCTTCTGCACCATTGGTCACACAACACTCAGTAGCCTCATTGCTCTTAATCATGACTGGCATGCCTATGCATAGGGTCAATTTTCTGGGATGGTTATCAGTACAGTCATGAGGTAGATTCCACAAGACTCTCTGAGTTTCAGGGTCTATGACATTGGATGACCTTTGTGGATTTACAGTAGCATGTTTTGCCTTTCTTCTCTTTTCCTCTGCATTTGATCTTCACTTGTCTTCAGAGTAAAATGTAATGAGTTGTTGTCCTATCTCTCTGACAAAGCATGTACAGCCAAGGTCGTTGATTTTGTCTCGATACGCATTCCAGGGGGTGATGAAGGAGACATTTCTGAATCTGGGCTGATTTAACTTTGGCCTATCTGCAGCATGACCTGCTATATATCCCTTCAAATGTTGTATGTCTGCCTGGGTGCAGGACTTGTATCTTAAGTTTCCCAAAGCCTTTCTTATTTTTGCATTATCAGGAGTTTGCTGCTTTTGTCTCATGTTCTCTCTCAAGATTACTGCAGTTGTGAACTGGTGCCAAAGTGATTTGCCTATGGATGATTCTTGTTCATAGTGACTGCTGGTGATGTGCAGCACTGATCTGACTTTATGGGAAAACAATGAATGCCCTGATCCTGCAGGGGAAAGCTGTGCAAAGTCTCCTGAGAAAATCATGTTTATTCCTCTGAATGGCTTTCCTTCATTTTTGACAGCTGAGCGCATCCTAGAGCATATTTTGTACAAACTGTGGCAGTCCACCATTGACACCTCATCTAAAAAAATGTACTCAATGCATTGAAGACACGCTCTTACTTGAAGGAGGCTGGCGGCAGAATCTGAAGTGTACTTGCTCATTCCTAGGATAGAGTGATATGTTGAGCCAGCAATCAAGGCAGCAGCTGATCCAGTTGGGGCAACACAGAGAAATCTGTAACTCTCTTTACGTTCATTGAAAAAATGGGACAATGCCTTTATGACCTGAGATTTACTGGTTCCTGCCATACCACCAAGGTACATCTTTAGCTGTTCTCCACTGAGGTTTGTGGCATGATTGACAACAATTCTAAACCCACATTCCTGCTCTTTGTTTAGTTTGAAGAGTGTATTAGTATCATCAATGAGCTTTTAATCTTTTTTCTCCTTCGCTTTGAAACCCTTCTCGAGATAAGACATGTCAATCACTTTGACCACATCTATATATTTATTCACCACAGCTCCTGTTGCCTTGTCAACAACATTGTTTGCAACTGCTTGATCTGTGCGAGACTGTATGATTTCCTTTTTTCTTTCAGCAAGAAGCAATCACCACTCTGAAGCAGTATGGCCCTTTTCGTCACAAAATTCAGTAGATGGAAAATGACCTTGAGTGACATCACATCCTTCGGGAAGGTTGTCCATCCATCCAGAAGTATGCATGATGTTTTCCGCATGCATCATGTGTGTTAACCGCAATTGAGCCTTGGTTCCCAAGTTATCCCACTCAGAAATATTGCCAAGAACATCGTAGTGTGTGGTGACCTCATCAGCAGCATGTTGTATTTTGTAATCATGATCTAGTGCATCAATATCATCATTGTTCATGCTAAACGGCATTCCACCAACATTTGCTTCTGCTTTCCTCAGCTTTGCGAAGTTATCTCTGTCATGGTTACACTCATATCTAATGTGCATGTAGTCCATGATCTATCTCTGTCTGTCAGTAAATTGATGTTGCTCAAAAAGATCATTCCATGACATCATCTGGTCACATTTGAGGTCGTGTCCTGACCTCCACAGCTTGAATAGAGTTAACATGGTCATGCAGTATTCCTCTCGATTGTCACTGTCTCTATGAGGCAATGCATCACCAACAAAATTAGGAATCATGCTTTTGTCCTCTGGCAGAAACCTTACTTGCTTGGATTGATATCGAGGGTGGGTCAGCAAAAAGCGTGCAGGTTGAAGCTTACAGTCTGCGATATCTGCTTGCTCATCTGCATGAAATGTCTTTACATTTTCTGAGGTGAGCAATAGCTCATCATTGCTGTCAGATGAATCCATACATCAGTGTACATCATCAGAGAAACTGGCCTCAGAAGAGCTTTCTTCATTTTCCTCTTTTGCTGGAACGAGCTCCTCTTCACTTTCTTCATCCTTTTCTGTCTGAATAGAAGTTATGCGGAAAGATGGCCGAAGCAGAAGCTCATCATCTTCATCTTCAGGCTGTAGAGATCATTGCTCATCATTGATGAAAGGTTGGATAATCTTTGACGACAACTCAGGGGCAGAAACGTCTTTCGTGAACTTATGCGACTCTTTCTTTACTCATCAAATTCAATCATACAGGCACGTTCCTTCGAAGATTGAAGGTTTATATATGTAATTGTCTACTGCAGACAGCGCTACAAACTTGCCTCGAGTTTGAGTTAATATCACTTTTTTTGGAGGCTCAGGAACAGTGAATATCTTTGTTTCACCGGTTTGCTTATCATCGTCCCAAGCGGTACATACCTGCTTTATGAAACTTTTCCACATGCACACATTAAAAGTGTAGTTAGTGTAATGATCTTTGTGTTTCAGAAGATACAAGCAGGCCATTGGTCCTCCGATCTCCACGCCGGCTGTCAATGCATTAACAATTTTTGTCAGTAACATCTGTCCTTTCTGTATTCTGTCTGTGTCCCCTGCGATTAGGTTTTCACTTCTATCAAATACCTTGCAGACAGTTTCAAACATTACATGGATTTTTAGAGGTGTCTTGGTGATATAGTCAGTTACATAAGCAATAACAGATTTGATTGTGATCTCCGACATGAGACTCATGACGTCCGTGTTGCATCGAAGAAGATATGTAACAATCGGAGTGAGTGTATTGATCCACGCCTCACCCTTTTTGATGTTGAGGGCCCCTGTTTCAGGATCAACCATGGTTTCGGTATAGGTTATACATGGAAAATGAGCCTTGCAGGTTCCATACTTGTTATCTTTGCATCCCTGGAGACATCAGTGACGATTGGACAGATAGATGAGCTCATTCACTTCAAGACACTGTTCTTTCCACCACTTTTCCCAGGTTGCACACTTCTGACAGTCATTGCAGTTTTTTTTTTCATACAGCACATCAGGACCAGTTTGGACAGGGTAAGTGTAGGGGGTACACGTTCTTCCTGCACATTCAAGTTTTTGATGTGCTGGCAGATGTCTTTCATTATTCTGTTATGAAATTCCCCAACATATACACTTTCAAGATATTCTACAATCTCTCTCTGAAAATCTGAATTGTGATCGAGGATTCTATCTCAGATCTGCTGAGGACTTAGACAATTTTTTATCCATATCATCATATGCATGTGCAGTGTTAGGCATCCTTGCTGTTCAACAGTTTCATAGTATGCTGCTGTCTCCCTGTATATACCTCTTCAGTTCTGATTCACACCTAGAACATGGTTTATGAACAGCTCCACCACAAATTTGAAAAACTGAGCACCAGTGACCAGATTAGATGCAATAAGTCACCAGCACTCATTATCTATGCGAAACTCTGGCATGATGTCTTGTTTGGTGTCTGCAAAGTAAAGGGCGATGGGATGATTGATATCGGCAGGTGCAAGGTGATGAACCAAAAGGCACACCGAGATACGATGTGAGCGCCCATATTTCATTACGCATACATTTGCAATTTGTTAAGGAGCCTTGGACTTGGCTGCGATATGGTCCAGGTCATTTATGATCTTGAAACACTCCTTCTCAGCATTGGTCTCAGGCTTTACAAGGCCATTTCCGAGTTGGGTAATCAGACTTTCCAGAGCAACCAAAGGCAGGTTGATGATTTTGTTTGCAATCTCATGAAAATTTTGTTTTTTGATCAACAGGTATCCGGCTGTGGTCGCATTTTTAATTTGTTCATGATTAAAGGTGACAAGAGGAAAATATGGTTCGAGCTGAAAGCACTTATCGTGATACATGAGCAGTTGTTGCTTCCTTTTGGACTCAGACACCCGTCTAGACCCACGGACATTGTTCAGGCCTCCCAAGCTGTAAAGAAATAACCAGGGGAATATCTGAGGATACAGCTGAGGGTTGTGATATAAGCTTTGAGAATTTTGTTGCTGGCCGACACCCAGAACCTTGCTTTTTCTGAACTGATGAATAGCCTTTGCCCTTATCAACTGATAATTGTCATCGAGGAGGTTGACATACACATCCCTGGTAAGACCATGAATGGTGAATGGACAGGGACCGTCAATGGTACCTTCATTCATTTCAAGGTCATTTACTGCCGTAGCTTCTGGAGCCTTGTTCATATATCCATCATGGTAGTCTACAATGACTGGAGGAACATTCTCTGAATAGCTATTGAGATTGTCATAGGATTTGTTCAAGTCTATGTAATTGTCGTAGTTTAGCTTCAGCCACTCCAATGCTTTCGCAACCTTGTTACATCTTACCAGAAATAGAGTTCTGGCAAATTCCTTATCTGTGGGTTTGCAAGGGCCAATTTATATGAATGCGAGTACTTCATCAAGTTCTTCCTGACTAGGAGCCAAGCTTCGGTAAATCTTTGGCATTGACACGGAATGGCATATGGCATTGGCGCACATTTTTCACATACTGGATACCTTGACCTGGATTATGCAGTAGTTGTGCTTAACCCTCGATACAAGCATTTTCTCACACCACATTAGGTCTTGCAGTTCAGGAGGGATCTCAACGATCCAAAGTCCATTAGCAAGAGAATTTGTCAGGAGCAAACCTCTTTCGAGATCTTGTAGACATTCCATACAAACTTGATCACAGTTGGGTAAAATGACCGGTCCTTTCAACTCTGGAATTGGATTGTTGCACTTTTTTGCTCCTTTCTGGTAATTACTGATGCCGTTGGCATTAAGATGGCTAGGTCTACGTCACAATCTGACAGCTTGGTCAGAGTTGTTTTTCATCGCAATTGACCACAAACTGCACACACAAATTCCAAAAAATTCTCCTTCTCGATGTCTTCACAAAAACCATTGATGGTCTCATTTAGGAGCTCTTTGGTCAGAGGAGATGGAGGAAAGCCTTTGCAGTTCCACGTGGTCTTCAGCACATGAAGTCAGGTTTTTCACATCCATTTGACACTCACTGCAATCAACTTAGGGTTGAAGATGGAAACAAGTTCAGGACATGACATGCAGTGATGTTGCAGGAGCAGCATTTGTAGTTGTTCTCTGGCTAACTTCCTTTGTATGAGGTCAATCTGGTGTGTCCGACATATGGATATAAGGGCATTCTTGGACAGCTTTTGTGCCAACGTCAATAATGAAACATGTGCATAAACTGCACCTTTTTGTTCAGTTTGAGGTGGAGGAGCATTCACGATGTAGCCCTCATATTCGTACTTGCTTGAATGGTCAATGTGCATTCCTGGCAGGATGAAAGTCTCAACCTCTTTGGTGGTCCATTGATAAAGCCTTCCTGATTTCGAAGCTCCTCCAACCAACAAGGGTTCCTGGTGTATGAAAGACAGGCAGAGTTCAGACACAATATGAAATTTTTGAGGACCAGAAAGGTGAATCTGCCAGTTGATTAGGTATAGGAAGAAGGATGTGCAGCATTGGAGGAAAAAAAGTTTAAAATCATGACGTCTCATCAGGAACCTTAAGAACGATATCTGAATCGAAGTCACCCTATGCAGGGAAGGTACTACCAGTTGAAATAGAGTGTGAATGAAGTGATGTGTGCTGCGGAGTAATGTGTGATCAAAGGTGAAAATGTCATTAGCAAAGCCACGAACTAACATCAAATGGTGAGAATAATTATGAGACGATGAAATAACATGCAGATATAAGATGATTGTCACATAGGGGCTTTGTACCTGATACATGTAGATGTCAAATGAAGTGTGATGTAAATGATAACAGAACGATGTATTCATGAGCATTGGTTGGTGAGCGACGTCAATGGTTTCATACAAACCAAATTTACATCATACTGTACATCTGGATGGGAGAAGGGTATTTGCACAGCTCGGGGTCTTTTTGTCATCGTAATCCGATGGTAGAGGACTTTTGTAGGAAGTGTTTCTCAGGGCTCCACCGCAGCGCAACATGGAATTGGTTTTAAGGATGTCCGCCATCATCTGATGGTGTGGTCCATTGAAGTGTGTATTATCATTTAGAGAGAGCGAGAAAGCATTATGCGAGACTTCAGTAGGACCGATGTGATCGAGTGATATAAGCATCATGAAGACATGTACAATTAGCATCCATAGTACCAGGGCCACTGATTTTCATAAATGATGCTGAGAATGGAAGATTTTCATCGTGAATCGAGTGGAGGAAGGATGCAGAGAATGGGGAGACCACGGAAAATGCTACAGCTCTGAGCGATCATCATTCTGAAAACATCCTTCTGGCTTGGAAAATGGTTCATACGTGAAAACCCGGATTTCCTTGACCACCAATACCATTTGCAACGAGAAACATTCTTAAAGGATGAACAATGTTTCCTTGCTTTGAGATTGCCGAAACTAACAACATCAGCCAGAAAATATGGTCTTAAACATTTCAACCCGGCTCAGCTGTTGGATCATTTCATTTGGACCGCTTTTATTTGTTGCTATGGAATTGTAATGGAAAACAATACGGAAGAGCATATTTACAATTTAGGATTAAGCAACAACAGAATGCTGAGGATGTTGAATGAGATCATATCTCTGTGGCCTGCAGCATTCCACAAATTGGTCGTGTGCAGGACGGCCACAAAACTACATTCTGGAAGCTCTGCTTTCACCAAGGGACATGTAGTAGGCACATCTTGGAGTTTGAAAGAAAGTTTTCCTTCACATTTATGCTGGAAGTAGTCAGTGCAGTCAAACACCAGAACTGAAATGTGCACAGGTGAGAGTGAGAAATAAAGTGTGCAGACACGTACGTATCCCAGTCACCGATCATGAGATTCACAGGCATGGGCTTTGAAAAAAGAGGTAACACCTCTGACGATGAAGACTGCGTAAACAGACCACCTTTTCTGGGAGATGCAGCAGATTCACTGAGCAGTTCCTTCAGCCTGGCACTATCTGCAAGGGATGTTACAACAATAACTTGAAAAGAAAGATATGCTCACAGCCAGATGGTGTGTCATTGGAGTCCACACGAGAGATGCGTGTGCTGAATGCAACATTCTCGTATGCATTGAATCGAATATTTTTGACCATCATTTCATCTCCATCCTCAATGTCTTGTCCGAACAGAGCACCATAGAATCCCTGCGTGAGCTCCCATTCTTGCTGGATAGGAATAATGTCAAGCTCTTTGATCTGCATCTCTTCCTTGATCAGAGAGGTAAAACTACATGGCTTAGTGAGATGGCTTTTCTGCACTATACTGAACGTCAAGCAGACAGCCTTTTGAACCATATGGGGGAAACAGAGTGAGCTGCCAAGGTTTTGGACCTTGTCTGGGTGAATGCGACCAGGAATGATGACTTGCTCAGGCCATGGTTCGGTCATCGTCATTAGCTCAATGATACCTCTGAAAGTATATGTCAACTACGTGAATGAAACTGATATGGCAGGAGACATACCGAATGTAGACCAGATTTTTGGTGATTCTTAATGTGTCCATCATTGAAATCGGCATTAATGTAACACCGTCTATGAGAACCTTTCTGATGGTGTACGTTCAATAGATAATAAGGTGCCTGTGCCGCAATAACTTACAGAGTGTAAGGAATGTTGGCATAAGTGTCCTTGAGCAGATCATCACACAAGGATGGATTGAGCAATGCAGGAGGAGTTTCATTGCATTGAACCTCGATCTTCACCCTGCGGACAACATTAGTGCAGGAGGAGTTTCATTGCATTGAACCTCGATCTTCATCCTGCAGACAACATTAGTGCAGTGTGAAAAATTGACAGGATCAGATGTACACCTTGTCTTCACTTTTTTCCTTACCCTTGTGGTCCTTCTGCACAGGTCATTCACTGGGATAACCATCAGCAGTACGTCCATGACATAAATTCAAACACCTACTCCTTGCAGACTGATTGTGGCTTGATGATCTTCTTGCCAGGCTTGATGATATCTCTGAAAGGCAGTTTATATTTATTCTAGCACAAAGGATGGAGGGTACATACTTGTTCTCATGTTCATCGTTGTTTACGATCATAGCCTTGGGAGTCTTCGAAACCCTGTTAACACATGAAACATGAAATACCATCTAGGAGACATAAATGATCATTGTTCGAGAACACGTACACATCAGTGTTATGTTGTGGTGTGATTTCTGCATCAATGACGCTGTCATTGCTGATGGTGTTAGGTCAGTCTCCAGCTAAGGCAGCACAGAAAATCTCGTACTTGTCATTGACAATGAATCCATTCAGGGAGTCATTTTCACTCAAGGTTTCATCGACATTCAACCTGATGAAAGACATGTATGTGTACAACGAAGCAACTCTCCATCTAAAACTCACCGTCCATCATCAACTTCTTCATCAACTTCTTTCGCTTCATTATCGATGAAGTCCTTGATGAGTCGTCTGTGGATTGTTCAGAAAACGAGTCAACCAACGTATTAATTAGGTGTAAGAGGTGAACGTACTTCTTCTTTGAAGAGCACATGGTAATCCTCTCCATCTCATGATCCAGCTCATCTCTCTGGTCAGTCAGATTAGCCATGAGGGCAAACATTGGATTCTTACTGTAATGGTACATTATATCTTGCCCATCAATATTATGTTACGCATGACGTACTCTCTCTGCCTTCGTGTAAAGTCAATGGCTGGCTCATCCTCTCTGCAGACCTCAGACTCAGAGTCCTCGTTCTCCTCATCAGAGGAGACACTAATATGCATATCAGTTTATTATATATCGAGAAAGTAGACAGCTCCACTTACATCATCACCTTCAACCATTTCTTGAATGATGGACTGAAAGATGAATGTTCAATCCTGCATTTCAGAACGTGCTGTAGAAACATGTACTTGTCTGACTCGTCCTCAGAGCAGGACTGGCTACAATCAAGATGGTCAACAAAATGCATTTAAGAATATGAAGGTCAGCTCACAACGTCAACCGTTTGATTACACTTCCTAGATGACTGCTGGTCTTACGCGAATTCAGGTCATGGGAGTCTCAGGAGGTGTCAGAATGGTGATCCTAGTGTGCGGATGAATAGTCAACAATATGACGAAAACAAATATAACATACACGTACTTTTTCTTCGGTGTCAAAGGTGTCGCTCTAAGCACTTGCTTTCCCTTTTCTGACACCACCCCATCCAGTCTGCTGAATGTTCAGATGTGAGCTGTTATAGGTGCAAACACTCACTCATGACCATCTGATCCTTCATTTTCTCTATACAGTGGTTAAAAAAAAAGAGGAGTATAGGAACACTCACACTCACGATTGAACCGCCTCATGGTTGCCATTGTTGCTTGTTTCTGTGTTCCTAAAATGTGTTTGAAGCTATACTTTCAGAGACTCAAATGGAACACTTACTGTTTGAACCTCACACTCCTCGAGGTATGGCCACCCGTTGACATAGCGATACTAGAAAAAGATGAGCACTCACATTGGCTGGTGAAAACAAACTCAACATACTATGGCTTTTGTGTCATGGGCGTCGATCTGCGTAGGGACATCGGAATGCAAAATGCTTGCAGTTAGTATGTGGAAAATATATGATGCTGACTTGGGAGGTGGGGTAGGTCTGGCGAGATGTCAGATGCATATCACAAACTTGCAAACCATGTACTTCTTCTCAGAATCGGAGATCAAGATGGTTTCAGTAGAAATTGGAGCCTGTCTCTTGCTCCTCGTAGAGGCCTTTCCAGCATGTCCACTATAGGCAGTATTAGAACATGGTGAAGATGATCATCTTAAAGAAGAAGCACTGAGCAGTGGAGGTCTTTCCTCAAGCCATCCTGGAAAAGTAGGACAGCAATATTGAGGGTAAAAATGAGTCTCTCGCTTTATATGTTCTTCAAAAAAGTCAGATCAGATAGTCACTCAGCAAATGTCAGGACCGGTACTGGAAAATGGAGAGAAACCTCACAAGGGCATTTGGATGGTACAAAGGTAAAACCTCATTCCTGCTATCTGAAAATCTGACCACATTGGTGAATGTACTAGCCTCATATCGGAGTTCAAATTGAGGACCAGCCTTTTCTTGGCAGGCCCCTGCATGATAAGAATGTTCAGCTTCGACATGAGCATTAGACCGTTGAAAGTACACAAATCAAAAGCCAGTTTGAAGTCGACGTTGCCAATGAATCAAAGTTGGTGGGGGATGGACTAAGCATGATACATATAAATTGCTCATGTGTGGACTACAGCTTGACCAAGAATGGATGATCTGCAAAGTTCAGAGAAACTGATCTTGCACTGATTGTTAGACTTTTCAAAGACTAGTCAACCTTTATGGTTTACGTTGCCTGACTGGGCATCTGGATTATAAGGGAAAGTCATCATCGGAGCATAGCCCAAACATGTTTCAGAAGAGTCCAAACTGACATCCTGAGCAGGTGATCTAAACTACATGGAGAGAGGTCATTCGAACAATTGGGACTACCTCTCTGCAGAAAGAACCGGTTGAAGACCAACATGCTGCTGACTTTGAAGAGTTCTACCAAGAACGTCCTCATCTTGTGAGGTAAACATTGCTGCCTCCCACCATGGCTTTAGAACTCTTGCAACAGAAGAGAGACATATACAGTTTGTTTTCTACTTTGCAATGGAACAGAAATGTTAATAGATAGGCAGAGGCTACGCTGAAGAGATATATGGACAAACATCATGCAGAGGTGGAAAACAAGAATCTAGGAGCATTTACAGATATAAGTCCCCTCTAGCTGTAATGAGCTCTGACTGAACTTACACCAGGCTCAACTGCTGCAAACACTCATAAGCCTGTATGAGCTTCAGGCTGAAAATGGCAATGGTTATTGAGGAGCTGACTTGACATGGAGTACAGCGGGATCAATGACTGATGGTGCTGAGGAGGTGGTGTTGTATGTATTGGGTTATGTCTGTGCTAAGAATCTTTCTCCCATTGTGAACAACTCTCAGTACATGGACCTACAACATTCTCGATGGAAAATGCTCACATTTCATGTTGTAGACTCCCTCGACATATCTTGAATGCCTATCAGGCAGTCACACTGACTGGACTAGGGTTGAAACCTTTCAACAATTACGTGCGAGGAGCTTTATCCATACACCAGCTCTGTTCGGAAAACCAGTCGGGTCTTCTTTTGCAATCTTGGCAGTCTGAGAACTTTGCCGACTGCGTTTCTATGCAATTCAGCAACTGATACTTCACATCAAAAAGAAATCTGCACAATGGCGTGGCTTTATCCCTCGCTCAGAATGTTGACCCTTTCGATATTCTCGCTCATCGTCAGGGTCAAGATTGTTTGCATCTTCAAGACAATCAGGTAGGATACTATGAGCAACGGATTGATCAGTAAGTCATCACCTCTTAATTTAGATTGCAACTTAGCACTGGCAGAGGAATCACAAAGATTTTTCGAGTAAATCCATCATCGATAAGGCTTGGACATCTTGTCGAACTGCAGGTGTCATTCTGGGTGATACACAGTGGAAAAGATACACTGAGGCTGATAAACAAGCTGTTATCATTTTGCATAATAGATAGATGTGTTGAACACGTACGTAAAAAGTATTCAAAAAAGATCACCCTATCATCTCTTTTATTTCAGAATTTGTGCCAGAAATTGACAGAAACGGTCATCGCTGGTGGTACGCAGATTTGGAGGCCACTTAAATGTACTGTTGGTTATGACGGGAATGAGGAGAAGATTGTCATTGATGAGGTGAAGAACAGCATAAAAAGGCTTCGCATGGATTCATCTCCATGAAGAAAAGATCCTGTAGATTAGTGGATTTTTTTTTTGGCATTTATTTCTATCCCACACTATATGCGGCATATAACAGGAAGGGTGTACAGGCTCGGGCATACACTACAGTGTGGCGCATCTCAGGGTAGGTATAAAGAAGGAAGAAAAGGAAAGGTGGCAGGGCCACGGGTGTGGTGGTTAGCCCAGGTCAAACAGTGTGACAAAGATGGTCCAAGCCCTCGAGGTGTCTCCATAGGCAGTGGAGGTGGGTGCGTGTGGGAGTGGCAGTGTCGAAAAGTGTGCACCTGGCGTCATCATGCAGCGGGCAGCTAAGTAGTGTATGGGTGCGTGAGTTAAGGAGTGCAGGGTTGCAAATGCACCTGCAAAAGCTTTGGTGGTAGCATGAATTGAAAAAGGTGCTGATGTGGCCATGGCCAACAACAGCCTGGACAAAGCGGCCCTCGGTGTTTTGAGAATAATCGCTGAAGTGGAAAACAGAATGAAGTGTGGTGGTAGGGGCCCAGGGCCAGGCTTCACACAGAGCAGTGGGTTGATCAGTAGCTGCATATTCCTCCTGCCAGGAGGAGGTCGCTCACTCACATGCCCACCACCACACCCATGCAATTGTGGGGCAGATGCTTTCGGGTTGAGACACAGCCTTCCTGGTGAGGTGGTCGGCCACTTTGTTACCCAGTACACCACGGTGACCAGGCACCCAAACCAGCATAATTTTTAAATTAGGGAAGTTATTCATGAGCGGCATGAGATGGTTACAAAAAGTTATGAAGAAAGGCTGCCCCGGGTGGGGGCTCAAAGAAAAAAGGAAAGATAGGGCTGCGCAGTTGTCCACACAGATATAGATGGTAGAAATGTTGGGATAAGCGTTAAGAAAGCTGCAAAAATAGGAGAACACGGTCGTGATGGCGAAGAGCTCTGCATCGAAGACCTCAGCTCGATGCCCCATTCCCCATGCTCATTGAAACTTCACAGTGGAATGATGATAGATGCACGCACCTGCTCCTGCTGCACGATGATGAGGGGCTGGTCATGGGTGAGAAGTTTGAGAGCTGTCGGTGAACACCCAGAGGGCTGTGGGATCTGAGAAGTGATTGGATAAAAGAGGGTTTAAAACGGAGTCTACATGATGCATGGATGCATCCTTGGTGGATGGCAGAATGAGCGAGGTGACTCACGTTTCCCACGGGTGTGACTCCTGCCATGGTGGCTGGAGGAATGGGTCAGTGCACATGGAGTCATGAGGTAATTCCTCTTCTAGAGCAGTGATCACAGTGTGCTCAGCATGGTGGTGGCGTATGGATGGATTCAGGAGGGTGAATTGGGGCGGGTAGAGGTGGGCCTGGTCGCTCATGCAGGTAATGATGGAGTGATGCCTAGGGAGGGTGAGGAGTCATGCGGCAGCGAGATTGGAGAGGCGTTGCAGCTGTTGCTTCATTGGGAGAATGCTGGCGATGAGGTTTAGGGCAATTTGTGGAGTGGATTTCCACGCACTGAGGAACCACTGCAGCGCCATGGTTTGAATGTGTTCGAGTGGGTAGAAGAGGGTCCTCAGCATGCAGGGATTGTACCAGACAGGGCTGCCAAAGGTTAGCACTGGTAATATGGTAGAGAGGTAAAGGAGGCAGGCTTGAGTGACAGAGATTCCACGTTGGGTGTTCATGAGTTGGTGCAGGACGATGACCCAGGACTGTGCACACGCTGCCATGACGTGAATGTGGTGTTTGAATGATAGTGTACGGTCAAGCCAGAGGCCGAGCCACTGGAGGTAGGGCTTCAGCTCAAGGTGCTCTTGGCGACCATTCCACTGAAAAGTTAAGGGGGGGTTAGAGGATAGGCCAACAGCCAATGGACAGAAATGAATGAGTTCAGTTTTGGACATGCTGACAGTAAGGCCGAGCATGCCAAGGGAAATGGAAATGGTGGGCAGGGTGTTCCGTAAGAGGGTGACATTGTGCCGTAGTGAGGGGGAGATGATAAGGAGTGTGAAATCATCTACGTATCTGGCAACGGTTTGCTGTGGATAGAGAAATGGATCAAGTGCACGATAGAGGGGAGAAGAATATATGGTGGAAAGCACAGGCAAAAGGGGTGAGCCCTGAGGTATGCCGAGAGCAGCTACGGGATAGGATGAGCCATGCTCCCCTTGTAGTTTAGGGGAGACGGAACGGTCAGCAAGGAATGAAGAGATCCAGAGGACTTCATTGGTGGGAAAGCCGAGTGACAGGAGAATAGAGTGCAATACATCGTGGTGAATGTTATTATAGTAACCCTCGATGTCCATGCAAAGAAGTGAAGCAGAAAAACCATTCGCCCAAGCAGTGCGAATGGTATGGGTCAGGTGCATGCCTGCATCGATGATGAAGTGTTGGGATCGGCCCCCAAACTGAGTTCTTGGAATGAGGTTAAGGGCACTGATCTGCCAGTTAAGGCATGCAGCAACCACTTTTTCCAGGAGCTTACTCAGGGTTTTGAGCAGTGCTATGGGTCGGTACGCACTCAGCGCCATATAGTCCATCTTTCCAGGTTTGGGGATGAATATGAGAGCGGCAACTTTCAGCGAAGAAGGAAGGTGGCTCAAAGAGAGGGATGTGGCTGAGAAGTTAAAAAGAGCGTGGTGGGCCGTAGACTGCCAGAGTCAATGGATGAGCCTCCAGGAGGTACCGGAGGGGTCTGGGGCAGAAAGAAGAGAAGTAGATGACATGGCCGCTGACACCTCACTCTCAAGAAGGGGGTGGGGTGCCTGTGGCATTGGGTACAGAGGGGAAACAACAGGGTGTAAAGGAGGAAAAGAAGGAGATGGGGGAAAATAATGCTCAGTGAGCGCCCACCCAATGTTGTCAGGCAGGCTGAGCATCTCATCACGAGCATGAATGATGGATGGCACTGAGGTGTGTTGCCCCTTAGTCCATGAGAAGAGGCACCAGAGGTTGATGTGTTGCAATTATGAGGCTGCCACGATGGCCCACTCCTTGCATGCAGTGCGGATGATCTGCTAGAGGTCTCATTTTGCACTTCGACGTGCCTCAGGGGTAGGAGCATCCTGGACTTTCTGTTGGGCAAAGTTGCAACTGTCATTCCACCACAGTTGCGATGGCCTGTGGGTGTGGGTGCATGGCAGGAAGGTGGTGATATTTGCAGCATCGATGGCATGCAATAGAGCTGTGGCACCCCGATCGAGGTCAGAGGTGGAGGAGTAGCTGGGGGGGAGGGTTAGTTAGGAGAGCAACATCGAGGGCGTTAAGCCACTCTTCCCCTAAGAAAGGGTCCACATGGAAGCCAAGGTCAACTTCCATGGGAGCAGCCTCAGTGCTTATGGTATAGGTAAGGAGAGCATGGTCTGAGGCCCACAGGGAGTCCTTGACACAATATTGTGAAAGAACGAAGCGGAGGCTGCTCGAGGCCCATACCAAATCAATGATGGTACCTGTGGAGGGATTAACACCGATGGTGTGAGTGGGGAGGTGGGGTTCAGTGATGAGCTCCAGGTGATGGCCGACAGTCCAGCGGACCAGGTCATCTGCCCCTTTAGTAGTGGTATGGAAGGCGCGGTGCTCCCACGACCAAAGAGGGTGGTGCATGTTAAAGTCCCCACATAGTAGGAGTGAGACATCAGGTGGAAGGGAAAGAGAAAAAAGGTGCTGGAGGCCAGGTTGACCAGTCGCGGGTGTGTCATTGTAGACATTAATGACTAAGAACTGGTCATCGTGCGACGAACGAGACACAAAGGACAGAATGAGAACATTGGGATGAGAGGAGAGATCAGAATGAAGTGTAACATGGAAAGAGTTAAAGAGGTGTTTCCTCACCAGGCAGCTGATGTGCGGCCTGGGGGTTGGGTTAGAATGAGGGAAGTGGAAAGTGATGAGATTAAAAGGAGCAGCGTTGATGCAAGATGGGTTGGTGGCATGATGCTCACCATGGATTCTGCAGATGTGGCAGAAGAAATGGGTAGGCAGACATGGAACAGTTGTGGGATTGTTTTCAAGAGCGCATGCACTGCAGGCGTTGCAGTGCTGGTCTGTGATGTGGGAGTCCTTGCCACAGAAACGGCAGAGGGGTAGTTTGCACTTGCAGAAATGCTCAGTGTGGGTCAGGGCCCAGCAACGGGTGCATTGGTGCAGGACAGGCTTGTCTTTGGAGCACTTTACAAGGAGCCGGGCTCCCATGAACCAAACAGACATAGAAGGCTCGCCGCGGTTGTTGCGACCAAGTAAGAAACGTGAACAGAAGTCCCACTTGGGGTCTTTGATTGAGAAAATAAGGCGCGCGTGCTTCCATGTGTCCTCCGGCCCTGCAAAAGTGGTGAAGGCAGGTATGCCATTGAAATAGACGTCCATGAAGACAGGATTGGTGTGGAGCTCAGTCATGATTTCTTCCCCGGTGAGCAGAGAGCCGCTCATGGGGTGGCATCTCGGGCACACCAGAACAAATAGCTTAACAGTAGGCAACACAAGGCATAATTCCTAGGGTAGCACGACAGTGCATGCACCCGCCGGGACCAGGGAAGCAGCATGGGGCTCAAGGTCGAGGATGATGCGGATGGCTTGCAGAGCATCCCGAATAAGGGTATCCGGAGAGTCATGAGAAAAAGTGAGCAGCACCTTGTTTGGGGCAAGGCGCATGCCACGGAAAATTATCTTTGATCAGGCTTCAGCTTCCTGTATGCGCTGCGTGATGCGCTGATACCAGATTGCAGGGGGGGTTTCTCAGATGTGGGTTACCTGCTCCAGCGTGAGTATGGTATGGTAGGTTTTGTCCGGCGGCAGCGGTGGTGCTGTGGCGGTTGTTTTCTTGGTGACCGAATTGGCAGCGGTGGTGTTCGAGCGCACGTTTCGGGCTGCATCAGAGAAGAACTTGGTGGCTTGCTTACGTGGACCCGCAGGGGGCCCGGAGGTGTCAGCAGTGGGTGGGACCAGGTAAGGATGGCTTCGATGGCAGACAGGCATGCATCGATGGTGACAGTCACCACGCGGACCCCTGCTTCAATGCCCTTTGTGATGGCAGACTGGATGTGCGCAGGCACAGGGTCAGCGTGAGTGGATGCCCCCAAGGGGTCCATGTTGCCAGCACATTGGTAGATGACAGCAGTGAAGATGGCAGATGCCTCCTTGCCAACTTTCGAGCGCATGAGCTCCTCGTTGGTGAGAACTCGATGTTGGATTTCTGCGAAGGTGTCCATGAGGGCGTCAACTACTTCCAGGATGCCCTCGCCTATGTCCTCTGTAATAACTGGGTCTTTGACCAAATGAACCATGCAGATGGGCCGCTGGAGTACTTGCTTCAGGTTGGTGAGTAAATCCTGCAGGAACGCAGTTTCCGGTGGGCTTGAGACAGGCAATGGTTCTACATTACTTTCACTGGCCAGCGGAGACTCCTCCGGGGAGGCACACTCTATAGTGGTGGCCTCCATTTTGATGTCAGTTGCAGTTGCCAGTTGGGCGCTTGATGAGGACATGGTGGTAAAGAGACAAGAAGGAGTGGTTTTTTGTAAAGACTGTCATCTCAGCAGGTTTGAAGTGAGGATTTCATATTATGCATGAACAACAATGAATGGCCAGGTTCATTTCAATAATGGAAACATGAACGAAGTACAACAGGGATCTCAAAAATGCGTCAAAGGAAAAACATGTTCCAAAGCCGGCATGCTTCGATGAATGGTGAAGCTTTGTTATAAATTCAGTCAACATCAATGTCAGGTATCATCACATTCATACAGTACTACATTGCATCGATAGGTGCAACATTTTCCATCAACATCATTGTAACCTGAGGTCTGAAAAATGGGTACACCTTATATAGCACCCCAACTGACAGCACACAAACAACACCAAATTATAATGTTCGCGTTCGTGCATCTGGCTAGTTGCACGAATGTGAACGTCATAATTTGGCATTGTTTGGTTCTCAGAAAACTTTTTCGACCATGAAAGCCTATCGGGGTGCACTACATTGCTCGAAAACATTCTGCTTTCCACAGCTGTAGAGGTGACCTCTCTGCTATTCCATATCAGAGAGTTCTGCTTCCTCCCATCATAACTCCTCCATTACACATTATGAAACAGAACCCAGGTGAAATCCCTCTGACCACAACATATTACTCACTGCCTGTTTTCATTCTGAAAAATGATATCGTCCATGCTCTTGACATCAATGCAGAGCAAGAATGATTGTATGATGAAGAACAGCAGTTATCACACTCAGCAGCAGCATTGACTTGAAGATGGAATGATGTGACCAGCACAGAAGCAGGTGAGTTCAAAGGCAGTTCAGAATTTTGTTTGGGTATCAACTGAAAGGCGCTGTCAGCCTTGTCTGACAGCAAGAGGCAACCTGGAATGCTGTCAAAAATGGGTGAGCCATGAACGCATCATCGGCTCATGTGCTAACTGCTCTCACATTTTCTTCACAAGTGATCCTGCCTTGGAGTCAAAAAAATGCACAAATAAAGTCAAAGTATAACGTGCATGTTCGTGCAACTAGCTAGTTGCACGAATGTGAACATCATAATTTGGTGTTGTTTGGTTACTGCAAAATGTGCCATCGTTCATCATCACCATTGGCCCATGTCTCGGATAATGTGATGATGATGAATGGTCAGGAAATGGACCTTTGCATACAGTTTTGGACATGTCGTAATATAAATGTACATTTGAATAATGTCTCTTATTATCTCTTGAGGACGTTGTGATGTCAATTTGACCAATAATTGCCAGCTCGCTCAAATTCGAGTCCACAACATATCGCAATCCAGTGGCCACACCCCCTGAACTGCTTCACACTCTGTCATGGCTTAATGTATCGCTGCATGCTCGCATTGACTATGGATGATTCATCAGCTCACCGATCACTTGAGCCCCTCCATATTCTGAGCAGAGATGAGTCCCTTCCCAAACTTTATCAATATGAACGTGTTCATTGTCTCCATCCTGTTGACGTTCCTCATGGAAGAATGATCATCATTTTGGTGGATGGATCAGATGAAGGGAAGAAGAAAGAGTTGGAAAGGGTGAAGAAGTTGGGAATACCTCTTGGGAAGCTGGAGGACATGGATAGGAGAGATCCAGGTGCACTGGGAAATGATGCTAAACATCATGGAGGAAACTTACATGTACTCCAGGTTATTTTCAGATGGGACCTGGCACATGGGTTATGAGCAGGGACCAGGATGGACAAGGAGACCCTCTGGATGATGCTATTATCGCATTCGTGCCTTCGGAGTGAATATCACAGCCATGGTGTGCACGAATGAGACTCAAGTGACTCCTTAGTACCTCACAAAATGTGGCACTCTGAATGGCATTCAAAGAGCAAAGAATGGACATCTTGGGTCCTCGAGAATGTCGCACCAGAGACATCACAGCATTCGAGCAAGATGTTCATGCAAAACTGATTGTTACTGGTACGCGCTGCAATCCCTTTGGTCTATTGATCGAGAAACCTCACCCGGCGAATGCACCTGTGACAAATGGAAGGATATATGATGGAAACAATGATGATCCCCACCTACGACTGCAGGAGGGTTTTCTGAAGGTTTTTATTCTCGAATACGTCGATGTGGATGTCTCCACTTACCAATTGACATTCATAGACCATGTCGGCGTATGCGACAAACCAATTTCTAAAGGAGGCACCACCAGAAATGGTGAAAAATCTTCAAGATTATGCTAACATGATCAACACTCCACACATCAGATGTTCGAATAAATTTTTTTACATCATGGCAGTTGAATCTGGGTCCTGCACAAGCTGATGACCATGGTAAGTGATGTTTATACCAAAGTCTCAGGTATTGCATTCAATGGTGATGTTCAGCGAATGATCTGGATAAGTCAATGGGTATCTTTGGAAAAACAAAACACTGTGACAACTTTGACAGCATTATCGGAATGTCTGCATGACGTGTGGCTTGGATTTGCCATCAGGATATGACAAGGAGCTGTTTTTCTTCCCTGGTCTAGGGATATACTCCATTCTGATCCCTAGTCGCATGATCTTTTTCACTGGATGCATTGACCATGGTGGAACAGCTCCCATCACTCCTGCTGGAGAGGAGCTGATCTGTTAGGTGTATAGATTCACCACGATAGAATACCCATCCAGCGTGATCATCGAAGGCTCATCAAAGCACACTATGGTGGCACTGCCTATGGCTGCATTTCTCAGGTCAAACGAGCTGCTATATATTATGCCAGAGATTATGGGTGTCAAGTAAGACATCATATTCTTTTGACAAAGTATAATTAAGCATTTTTCAATCACTTCGAACAGCTTGAACCTTCTCCTCAATGAACATGGCATTCCTCAGAATAGGTCCTGGACCAATCACTCAAACATAGCTGAAGATGGACAGTTCATGATGGATTCTCTTGAACATGTCTCATGGATGGCCAGAGCGATCTTGCAACTTGCACATACTCTGTTTGCACAGCTTCCTCTGGCGTATGATGTTCAGATCGATCCGGATACATTTCTCTGCTCATTCACGATTGCTAATGAACAAAGCGAACAGGTGGGCCTTAGGGCATGGAATTTGGCTCCAGGGCCTGCTGTACACCTACATCATGATGGTGAAGATGTCCCAGAAAGCCTGCATTCCTGACAACTGTCAAGGTCTTCTATTTGAAAACACGTACTTGGGGAGTTTTACCAGAAAATGGCTCGTCACATCTCTACGATACCTGCAACGTATGCCAGGTTACCTGTTAAACCATTGTATCAGAGCAAGAAAGGTACAGAGACATTTCTCTGCTCTCAATTTATATTGACAATTGTCATATAGGACTAAAATGATCACTAGACAGAGATGAACTCACGGAGGAGGAAAGTAGACAATGAAAAAAAGTGCGAGTGTTTGCTTGTGGTTCTTTGCTTCTTTTATGTTCTAAAAAAACTGATCCAGCATTAAAGATGCAGGCAGCAATGCAATCATCAATCAGCTCAACGGCAACAGTTCCCATGGCATTTCAAAACCTGGACTATATGCTGGGTGTCATCTCTCTTTGCAACAATGAGCTCGGCAGATCTGCTAGCACGTGATCGACACCTCTTCCTCCAGAGGATGAAGAGCGAGATGATGACATCTACACAATGGAAGATGGTCACAGCTACACAGAGTTTGCTCTCAATGGTGATGGCATAAATGATACATTGAGCTCTGTTATTTCAAGCATTCAAACAGGAGATGGTGATGGATGTGCAAATCTAGAGAATAGACGAGATGTCAGCTCATCTTATCAGCATATTTTCTGAAGCCAAGAATCACCACAATCTGAGGAGCTGAATGGACACTTCAACAGGGAAGAGAGGAACCCCACTTCTGACAGTTCTGCACTTGGTCAAGCAGAGACTTTTGAGTTTCAACAAATTGTGGACGCACCACCTGATGACGTGGATGAAAGCTGTCTGGATGTGTTCATGAATCAGGATGAAGATGGTCATATGGAAGGGCATCAAAGACCACATATATCTCGACCCATAGCAATGTGAAGACCATACAATTGTAAGCAGCAGTGTGTATGCATCACATTCGATCTGGACATTTACTTTTCATTCTCCAGGAAAACACTTTCTAGAGTCTCTCACTACCATAAAATGCATCAAACTGCAAGTGCAATTTGACTGGGCATTAAGTACAATCAAGCAAGAAATGTCATCTACCATTGAAGACGTTCTCACTTCACTCGACACCATGAAGATCTGGAACACAAAGAAGACTCTTTCCTTTAGCAAGGCAACACAGTACTGGGGAGCAAATGAGAATCTCTGTGCACACATCAACCTTCTGCACATCTCTCATGTGATGGTGTGTCAGTGAATCATGCTTTCTGAATGGTTTGCATCTGCTCATTTTATCAACCTCTGCCATTGAAAGACACAGCAGCTTCTTGAAAAACATCACCGAGAACCTACTGAGCAAATGTCAGGTCACGAGCATGCAGGCTGGCTCGAACGTCTAATCTGGATGGTGAAGACCAAAGTTCTTACCAGAGCAGACTTCACCGTAGACTCCACCAATTTTTTTCCTTCTCTCACTCCCATTCACTGATATCAATTTCATGCAAAGGGAAACACTCGTCTACATAATACAGAAAGCAACTCAACAATCACGCAGATCATCATCGATATTGTTCTATATTAGATGGATGTCACGAACCACATTACAGTAAATCTGCGAATCAAGTTCGTGGATATTCTCCTCCAGCGTCTTGGTCCTAGAGCTCTGCTTCTGCCTTCAACTTGGGAGGTATACGAGCAAACACCTCTGTGGTTACTGGATGATTACATTCGAACACTCTACCCAAGCTTTCTCTAGGAATGATGAGTGACTTTATCGAAGCTCTGGACCACAGTTCACTCAGGGTCCAGACAGCATAGACTCATATTCTCTGAAACAGCTTCACAAGAAATGCACCAATTTCCAGGTCGAGACAGATTGTCACATGAATGCACAGTGCACAAGATCAGATCACCCTGTAGAGATCATTATATCGTCCATTGTTCCTGAAGCTGACATCATGGCTGCTATTGAAAACTCCTTGGGAAATGGAACAGCTTGTCCACTGCAGCTGTCAGAATGTGAATGCCGAAATATTGTCATGACCCTCATCAAAGAAGCGATCGAGGTCATTCAAAAATCCAAGACAAAGTCATCCTCGCCCTTACAAAAAGCGATGAAGGTCAGAGCTGATCATCACATGCCTTTCCGTGAATTTGGAACTTCTCGAAAGGCGTACAATGTGAATGGTGGACTGCCATTAAACAACATCTGACATTATCAACCATATCACCTTTTCAGCACTCTCGTCTATCGTCACATAATCTTTGGCTCTCCGACTTACAGCCATCCTGATTTTTCACTCACAAAGTGCAAAATGACGTTCAAATCAGTGGGCGACTGAAAAGAATATCTGAAATTTGTGTAGCAACATTTTCCACAGCAGATCAATGATCAAGACTTCTTCTGCAACCGACAAGCACTCAGTAATCAGTTTTAGAAGGGTCGAGTGGTGGAAAACGTGGAGGTGATGTGAGAGTTCGTGAATAATTGTGATCTGGCACAAAGGCTGCAAGATGGCCCATTTTAATTTTCTGAAGCACTAAAACTCTTGAGAGAAGCTGGAAAACAATGCGTGAAGTCGAAGACAATACGGACAGCTTCAATACCAATTCAGCACTTTAGATCTCTTACCCAGTTCCTCACTTGCACTGATATGGTGTACGCTGGAATGGTCGAGCAGCCCACAATGGAAGATGTTGCGCAGTCCATCATTGAACTGAATTCAGACGCTCTCAAAGGTTTACGACTACTTGATCTTCTTCCACTTATGGAAAGCAAGAAACCCTTCAAGGAGATGGTCCTCAATGGACTTCACAAGGTGGATGGATTTATTCATGGCCAGTTTTCCAAGAACGAGATCAAAGAACTGCATTACAATAATATTTCCCTCGAGCATACCCTCTGCAAGGGTGCTGAGGGCAGCTGATTTCTTTGACACCCTTCAAGAGTGCAAGGAACAACTGGAAAATAAAGCATCAACATCAAAGCAGACATGCACATTACTGCAGTGGTGAAAAAATGATGAGAATGGTATTGTACCGATAGAGGATAATGAGGATGAAAGCGAGGGGTGAGGATATTCATTACCCACCATCAAATAAGAGGAATCGATGATCGATTCTGGACATGTGCTCGACGACCATTGCATTTTAGTGTAACACTTAACAGTAGTGGTTCGAAGAACCACAGATCAAATGAACATGCTCACGAGGCTCATTTTTATTGAATAAATTCATTGTGACATTAAATCTCAGATCCTGAGTCAAAGAACCAAGTCTACATTGATTTGAGATCACATATTCAAGGAATACCTGGTACATCTCTGGGGTGTTGAACCCTGGAGAAAAAACCCAGCCTCAAACTGCAGACTAAAAGAAATTGAAAGATACAGCCCCCTAATCCCTCACCCTCTCCTTGCCCTTGCCTTTCGCACCCCTCCACTGGCTCCTCTGGATGGTCCTCATCATGCTGATTATTGCAGATGATGTCATTCTGCACTTTATCACCCTGATTGGACCCATCTTCTGATGAGTCCACCTGTCGAGATCACTTCAGTTAGCGAATCTGAGCAGGTGAGGCCGAATCTAAATGTTCATCTTCATCTTCGCCCTCATGTGGTCGACGAGTTGAGGTCAAAGGACCAGGAGTGAGGTCTCAACATTGCTTCATACCTCGAGGGTGGAGTGACAGCATCAAAATGTATGGCTTGAGGGCTGGTCGGGCTCACAGCGAATGGGACAGCCCTGCATCAGCATTCTTTCAAGAATAACTATGCTGCAATGTTGAGGCTGATGTCTTTGATGACCTACCTGGACATTTGCTAATGAACATCAGATTGAGGAATGGTGAATGAAGGTCTGGCCAGATTTCAAGCAGTTATGCGCCTCACTGATCCCATGGTGGTCCATACAATGGTCATTGAATGAGAATAGGATGACTGGGCATGACATATTGAAGGTCAGCGAACCGTGAAAATTCTAAGAAAGTCACCATCAGCTGTCAGCACAGAAAATGAGAAATAAGAACAACATACGAGAACTATGTTATATGATGCCATCCAACTTCGACAAATTGCATATCAGCTTGCATGACGTACACTCCGTGCAAGAGTGGGTGCAACCATCTCAAATGCACTGACGCCCATGGGTTCAACATTTTTCACAGGGCAGATCTGTGTGTCAGACTTCAGCAAATTGTTTCTTTGGGTGACCAGTAAGATTTTTGATGTGCGCGTAGATGAGTCCCAAGGCTCGCTGAATGTCTTGAGGCTGCAAGATGATCAGTGATAAGTTTATGTGCTCTCGAGTGCCTGATGGAATGTCTACCACGAAAGTGCTCTCAGCATTCGTTGCAACATTGGCAGATGATGGTGAAGGTGGTTGAGGACAAGGAGATGAGATGGACAGGGTCGCAATCTGTGACATTGACATCTGACACTTCAAAGTCTGAGCCATGGAAGATGACCCTGGCATGTTTTCCTTGGCAGTGGTCACTGTGAGAGCATCTGTGGTCAGCATGTCGAGGGACTATCTCAGAAGCTATCATTCATGGTGAGTTAATGGTTCAAAAAGATCACCACACCATTAACTCATCAGTCCCAGAATGAAGGTGTTCAGGTCCACAGACGTTGGAGCATCCTCAGCAGTTCTCTAACAATATTGGGTCAATAACCGATGAGTCATGACAAACACATTACTTACTAGATGTTTGTCTTCAATGTGAACACTATCTTCGAACTCTGAGTCTTTTCAGCATTGAAAGCCGAGCAACTCGAACATCTGTGAATGATAATATGAGTGCAAACATCATTAAAACAAAAGTGACAACATATCTGAGATCCAGACGAGTTTTCAGCCATCTCAGCATGATCGGCCGCAGACTCTTCCTCATCATGCTCGACCGACAATGGCTTGTTATGTGCAATGGATGCAGCTTCATCATCCTCAATTGGTGCCTCCTCATCACTGCCAACTGGTGAGTGTTAACAAAGAGACGTTAATGAATAATCAGTGATGACTTGAATGATACTCACTGTCAGAACGTCACTCACAGGCACCTGGCCTGACCCAGACCCAGACTGCTGCAGCTCGTCTTCATGTGCGTAGGAGGCAATATCTATAGATCCAAGAGCCAAACATGTTGCTCGTTGATCTGTGACACTCGATCATTGTTCCTCCAGTGATGATGACTCAGGAACGTGATGTTCTGTTGCTTCAAACATGATAGCGGTGGACGAACTGGGTTCAGGCCAGGCATGAGAGGACTGCACATCATAGTCCACATCCGCAATGTCTGCCTCCAGAATATCTGCTATAATGTCACCCTGTTGGCCAAAAAACAAATGATGAACAATGTGCACTGCCAGACAACGATCGTCCAACATCTAATAGATAAACATCACCATCTTTCAGATCAGTTGAACTGGCGATACTTCGAGGGCGTGCACTTGACGAAGTGCAAAAACTTGAAATTGATCGTACTGAGCCAACATCTCCATTCGTGTGCAGATCATGATGACCAGCTCACGCAGGTCCAACCAAAGCTCAGGAACCTCGATGCCCAGGCCAGTGAGGACCTCACGCACGAAGTACAGATTCACCTGTTAATTATTGATAATTTCAAACGAACACTGTAAGAAGATGTGAGACTCACCAATACATCACAAAGGTCTATGCAGGAATCCCACCAAATCTCAATGAATTCTTGGTCCATGAGAGGCTGCCATACAGTCAGAAGAGCACGAGCATGAGGGATCTGGCCTAGCAAGGCTTCCATCCTTTATTGAAGTCACTGGTGGGTGGTGACATCTGATATGTTCGAATGCAGGTTTGTTGACATTGAGGTGGTGTGGTTAGACACGTAGAGAGAGGTAAAGCAGGGTAGATGGAGAGAAACTGATAAGAAGAGAGCAAACCTGGAAGGGGGGAATGAACCAGAACAAACTGCTACCTTTATGACAGAAAATTGCACAGAGTGCATGTGAACACTCCATGCCCATTTTCCAGGCATGATCAGAAGTTCTCATATCAGATGAGAGAACATGACCTTTATCATGATCAAAACCATAACTTCCCTCTAAGGAATGCATATGTTTCTCTCCACAGACAAAAAAACCTGCATATACAATTTTCAACCTGACAATCTACAGATTTGACACTCACCTGAGCAAAGCTGACACTGACTGGTCAGAAAATGGTCCACTGTAGCAGAGTACTCACATAAGAACGAAGAAGAGTAGAAGATCAGAGAACTCTCAGAATTTGAATTGTTTGCGAACACAGATACAACCATCCTCGGAAAATGGTTCCCACCGACATGACACTTCTCCACTGTGATAAGAAACCTTCCACTTTCAAAAGTCTGAACCACAATGAACGGTCAATAACCGAATGCTGTTCTGGAAAACTGGCTCTACTCACCTCAATGCATCTTCTTCATCCTCGCACATCCAAATGATCATCTTATCACATTTAGAAGTCAACATAAACAATGTGTGCGCTTCCAACCACGATGAAGTCACCCAATTGAAAAACTCATATGAGAGGCTCGAAGTTGTCATTTCAACATGATTAACATTTCAAGCAGCATCCTTTGAAATACTGACACAGAGATGGAATTAGTACATCGAGGGCAGCAGGATTTCTCCAGCACCAGAAGGAAAGATATAATAGAAAAATAAATTGTCCACCACAAGGCCAATCAATGCTCAAAAAATGTGTTTTTCATGAGTGGACTATCAATGAAATATGTTGTTCACAAATGTTAACATCACTGAATATATAGCAAACTGAACATATTGAAAGTAAAGGCGATCAATCCCCCATGCAAACTGAGTCAACAAAGTTAAATGCATAAGTGTCGCATTATAATCTGAAAGTAGATGCTCATTCCATTTTGGAAAATGGATGCTCATTCCTTATTGGGAAGCAGATGCCCATTTCTTTTCAGAAATCAAGCGCCTGTTCATTTTCGAACATGCAACCTGAAGTGACTGGTGTGAAGGCAAAATAAGATATACTACAATGCAAAGCAATGGTCAGAACATGTGTGGGCAGCTTAATCTATTAACACATTCACTAAAGGCAAACTACGGCTACAAAGTCAAATGCATAACTGCTGCATCCTAATGTGGAAGTAGACGCTCATTCTATTTTGAGAAACTGATGCCCATTCCTTATTTGAAAACAGATGCCTAGGCAGCTTAATCTATTGACACCTTCACTGAATGCAAATCAGGGCTGCAAAGTCAAACGCATAATTGCCATGTCCTAATGTGGAAGTAGATTCTGTTTCGAGAAAGGACACCCATTCTTTATCGGGAAACAGACGCTCATTCCTTTTCAAGAATCAAATACTTATTCGTTTTCGGACACGTAACCTGGAGTGACTGATGTGAAGGCAAAATAAGATACACTACAATGCAAAGGAATGGTCAGAAAATGTGTACGCAGCTTAATCTATTGACACCTTCACTGAATGTAAATCAGGGCTACAAAGTCAAATGTATAACTGCCGTGTCCTAATGTGGAAGTAGATGCTCATTTCATTTCAGAAAACGGATGCCCATTCCTTATTGGAAAACAGACACCCATATTACACACTAAACATATTTGGAAAGGGATATAACGGTGGACGAAAAAGCATTCAATGCTCAATGGGTATGCAAGGCTGCAACCAACACCATTAACAGTGATGTCCTAGGTGATGTTGTCATCAGCTGAAGGAATTGGTACCATGGTGGTAGTTAACTATTGTGTTCAGGAAATGAATGAGATTTGAAACCTTCTCAATATAGATACTGGTCAGTGGTCGTTGTTAAATGTGGAAAGTGAAGACAGAGATAAATGATAAATACCTCCATACATGAAAAATGATGCAGATCAAGGATTCTCCATATAAAATTTAACATGTACAGTTTGTGAAGAAACTGAAGTGATCAATATAGAAATAATATATGCAGGTATGGAAAATGAAGCTCATTATGACTTCTGTCTCTCGGAACATTTTCCACAATTCCTAACGCATACAGTATGGTGGTCAGCTCACTCAATTTTGAATATGAACCCATGATATGACATCGTCACTGAACTGAAATATGTATGACGATCCATTTTCTGATGGATATAAAGCAAGGTGGACGATCATATTCAATGCAAACAAAAAAAGTACGACAACAAAAAAAAACAATGAAGGTGGTGTTTGAGACGAAGGCAATGCGAAGGAACCAGCTGCGACTGAAAACTGTAAAAAAAATGCAGCATGGTGATTGGCTGTGATTATTTGCAAATATTTGGATCACCTGCGTCATGTGAGTTGAAAATCCACATTGCATGACGATTACAAATGATAACAAAACAGATTAGGAACAAAACCTAACATAGTCACAAACTTTTGAAGAAACCATTGAATACAATGTTTGGAACCACGTTTGAACTGCTTTCAAGCTGCTGAATATGATGGTCTGAACCACTTTCACACCATTGAATACAATAGTCTGAACTGCCATTGAGTACAATGGTTTGAACCCCTTTGAAGCCATCAAATGCCTTGGATCGAATCGCTTTCAAACTATTGAATAGAATGTTTTAAACCACTTTGAAGCTATTGAATACAATGGTTTGAATGACTTTGAACTCATCAGCCTTTCAGGCTTTAACCCTAGCAGACTCAGTGCTGTGATTGGCTGTGAATATTTACACCTATTTGGATCAGCCGCATCGTGCATGTTCAAACTCCGATTTGTATGCCCATTACAAAAGATAACAAATCTGAGTAAGAACAAAATGTAACGCAGTAACAAACTTTTGAAGGAAGGGCCCTCTCCTAGCCTCAGGACAGGGGCGGAAAATGAAACCACTTTGTAATGGTCCACTCTCCCATGCTTTGCTTAACTGTCTCACAGGTATTTGAAAATGTCACATAGACGCTCTAAGTGCCCAGTGTCGCACAAACTCTCCTTCATACCTCAGAAATCGTAACAGCAAATTTGAATCTGTATTCAGCCAGACAAGTTCTAGCCATGCTATCTTCAATATTTCAAAGTACCATTTGTACATGTAGTGCATCAGAGTTTAATCAAAAGCATACATACTATACAATATACTCAATGAACATGTTGTGGTGATTATATTTATGTATAGCAGACTTTTAGCTTAATGAATAGTTGTGAGGGCTACAGAATTTGTAAGTATGTCAGCCACTCAGGATTTGAAAATCAAGCCTAAGAAGATAATGAAAATCTCTTTTGAGGCCACTCTGAATATTTTGATACAGCTTAAAATGACAGATATCTTGAAGTATCTTGCTACGATCATCTACACTGCCATATTTGCAGCATGATTACTAGCCACAAGCTTGTAATTTTTCTTGTGAGGTTTAATGAAAGCAAAAATACTTCTAAAACTGCTATCTTTACCTCATGATTCTTTCCCTCCTCTTTCAATTGATGAATAGCAATGTAATACTGGACAGGATTAAGATCTAGACATGGGTTACAAGGAGACTGGCAGCTTCTACTTTCAGGTTTGCTTGCAGACCTGTTAGATTTGAGCTGAGAGAAAGATCATGAGTTTCTCACCAATTTTGATATGTATTTTAACCTGCTCATGAGAGGACACCATCGAAACCGTGCTGCAGCCCTTATGACAGAATTTGCATTCTGTGCATCATCTCTTTCCTTTCAGCATGATGATGCACATCAAGTTCTTCCTGAAGCATCAGAAACACTGCTCTCATGATCTGCCATAGGCGATGTCACCAGAAATGTCAGCAGCGATGATAGAGAGTGCATCGCTGACTATGCTGTCAGACTCCAAGTTTGCTGACGCATTTCATTTTCAGTGACAACAAGTGCAGATGGTGACAGCATCCTCGCTGCTGATGGCTCGCTGCGAGCTTCACATTTTTGCTAGAGGGAGATAGCGAAAACATCAGTGAGGTCTGATCCATTGACCAGTATGGCATCAACAGCCTACCTGCCACCAATGTTGAGATCCTGGGCATCTGAGGCATGCTGTGTCATCTCATCCATGGAGATCACAATCACAGAAGATGAGACATTTGTCATGATGGTGGACTTTGCATTGAGAATGATATGACCTGGCAGGCCACTAGTGGAATGCTTCATGTCATCCTCGACTAGTGCTTTCTTGTTCACAGTGGGCATATGCTCATCCACCTTCATTGCATCATTTATCACAATAGCAGCTCCAGATATGTGATCTGGGTAGTATAAAGAGGAACTTCTGAGAAGCTGGCAATGAGCAGTTTGCATTCGGCATGTGCATCGTGGTGTTCTACAGGTGAAGCATTGTCAGCGAGCTGTCATTTCTAACATGGTGCGATTTTTGCTTATCAAATTTGTGATCAGGAACTGATGATATGTCAAATAGCTTTTTACTCTAGAGACAAGCTCGTGCATCCTGTGAGAGAGATAAGCAAATCATCTGATAGCGAGATGCTGCATGAAATGGTGGTCACTGCTGGCAAGTCTGCTTGAGGAATCTATAACTAAGCATTTGTCTGCATTGCCCACTACCCTGTTCATCTGTATGTGCTTGCAAACATTGCTGTTGTTCAAGTTACAGGCCATGGTCTGTGAGATTACATAGATGTGAGATGTTCAACAAGAGAAGCACGAGAACATTTGAGGTAGAGAACATGGCCAACAGGGCACCTTTAATAGGAAGTACATACTGTAGACCTAAAGGGGTGAGACAATCAAGCATTCAAAAATAGTCAACTGAGAACAATGATTAGTGCAGAAATGAATGAACAAATATCACTACCTCAAATGTGAATGCACGACCGTGAAGTGGCACTGTGTCATGATATGATGATCATGGTAGCAGCTGATAAGCTGCATCCTCACATAAACCATCCTACATGATCAGCATAGCGATGTTCAATGCCTCACAAGGGCTGTTCATTATCCAAAACTTGGTTGAGCCACAACTCAGGTCCCTAAGGTCCTTTGACTTTCTTGCTGAGCATTTAATTAACCCCCCGCAATGTCATGAACCTTGGTGATACTGCAAGATATCTGCCATTTTGAGCTATGTTGAAATATTCAGAGTGATCTCAGAAAAGCTTTTCATGATGTGAAACTTGGTTGAGGCCACTCTTCAATGCCCTTCCTGGGCCTTGTCCCATGATACTGCAAGATATATTCCATTTTGAGCCATTTTTAAATATTTAGAGTGACCTCAGAAGAGCTTTTCATTATCTCAAACTTGGTTGAATCCACCCTTGATTTCCTTTCTGAGCATTCAATCACTTCCAGGATGTCATGAACCTTGATAGTGTTCATGATGGCTGTATGCTGTGGCTAGCAGGATGCACAGCTCAAATCATGCAGTACTCTCAAGGTTCATAACATTGTTCAGGATGCTTGAGGCCCTGCTTTGTGGTCTCAATCAAGTTTCAGGTAATGCTCTTCTACATATTACACATTGCAGACCCTGTAGCATTTCATATCATTGAAAAGATGACACAGATATTCACTAAACCTTGCTGAATCTCATCCATAACATGATGTTACTCTGCCTCTTGAGCAACCACACCATTTTTTGATTTCTGTCAATGAAAATATACAATGTGGTGAATATTTATAATCAAATTATAAACTTAATTATGAAGAATGTCAGGACCTCAGACATCGTTTCTGCCAGAAATGGCCCTCTTACCCAAGAGGCCTGTGGTGACTGAGGTATCCTGAGGCTGGGCTCAGATGTTCGATGTTATCGCAGATGAACCTAAAGGTAACAAGCATAGAGCTCGGGACAGCCACTGTAAAGGTCAATTTTGCTGGGAAATTTGCAGGCACTGAACGAACCAGCTGATATAGCGAATGGACCAGCGGGTTAGGTCATGAAAAGTGTCTTGGTCAGAAGCAAGGTCACGCCACTAGAGCACCTTTTAAATTTTCTTCAATTCCTCTTCTCTTAGCGCTCCTTATAATATCCTGTGAGAATTTCAATGATGACTGGATCCACAATTGCACAGGTATCAGTAGTGAAAAATTGAAAAAGACGATCAGGATCAGGAGGAGCTAAAGTCAGGCCTGGAGCATAGTACCTTCAGGCATAGGGGCATCACCACGGTCGTAGAGAATATACTTTAAGATCTGAGAGGAGGTATCATACCAGCATCATGAATTTGATAATCACCAACCATCCTGAGCAATGGCAAGCTAGTGGATGGTGAAGAGTGCCTAGTACCATGATGATGATGAGAGCGAAGGCTGCTGGAGTGAATAGAGCAGGGAGGCAATAGCACTTTAGGACTGTACAGTTCGCACTACGTTCGAGAGGCTTGAATGTAGAAGAGGTCCATGTTCTTTCGTCCCTTCATATCTCTTGCAGTCTTGCCTCTAAGTCCGATGTTTTCAGAGTTTTTGCAATGATCAGGCCTTCCAATATTTAATAGATGCGAAGGGCATCCAATGACTCTGCCATCGAGAACAGAAGTCAAGTATCAACACCCATTCATTGTCTTGATTTTCCACTCAACAACATGGCTGTCTAACTTGGCCAGAAAAATAACCGATCGTCATTAGTTCATGTGTCTGAAGTAAGCACACATAAAATACATCGTGTATCCCTCAACCTTTTTAATGGAAGGGCCACTCCATTTTATAAGAGTTATTGCCATAGTCCTCAATAATTCATTAGGCACCAAATTTGGGGAATCAGCTTGCGAGCTGATTCCTGAGACAATAAATGCTTGGTAGATCAATAGACCAGATCATCCTTCACACATGGTGCAGGGCGTTGCTTACAATTTGCATGGCAAGTCTGCTTTGTCCTAGCGGAAATAATGCATGAGCACATATTTTACATGCTGATTATATGCACAAATAGCAGAATATTCGTCTTTCCTTATTAGTCCTGGATTAAGACAGAAAGGGAGTATCCAATACTCTCTGACTGAGCCATATCAATCGCAAATTTAATAGAGGGGAACTTAGACATCCAATCCTGCTGATTAATGATTAGGATTTAATGCATTGTCTAACAGTGCGATTAGGACATTCTGGAGAGCCATCGCACTGAGGATATAAGACATCCTCAGGTCCACTTCCACCAGCTTATGCACGTCACTCCAGAATGAGCTAATGAATAAAATATGTCTATCACTCACAATGTACTTAGGCATACCATCATGTTTATACACCTCAGAGAATATTCTTTGCATTGTCATCGACACAAGGTGCACTAAATTATAATGGTAATAGAACTATATGCAGTGCAATCTTTCGAATCAGGCAGAGATCCGATGAAGTCAATTGCTAGGCACTGACAACAAGAGCAAGTCATAGTGCTGCACGGTTTCCACTCCTCCAAGCATTTCTATCTTAATTCATCTGTGCAGAGGATAGCTTTGCAGAAAAGAATGCTTACACTGTGATAATCTGGTCCCTTGGACATAACTTCAGCGATATCTCCGTGTGAGCCATCAGTTACCAATCAGATGGGTGGTGCAGGGCTAAATACAAAGACTCATGTTACTGGACATCAATGACAAAAGTTTTGCAATCAACATAGTCCTCAAGAATAAATGAGTATATGTTCTATCTAAATACGCATCCATAAACGTCGAAGTGGCCACAGCGTTGCAGTCACCTTGCTGCATTACTAACCATATCATAGCATTTCGATCTATGTGCTCTGGAGTAACACGGATCTGATCATAAGCATCGAACAAGGCAGACAGATATTTCTTGCTCACTACACGATGCAAAATACCCTCCATCAAAGGCAATGGCAAGGGAAGTTTCTCTGTATTAGTGTTTTGCTCCCTGAGATTGCTCACTCACAACAGGGGCTTGAGATGTTTTCCATTCACCTCAGACCCAGAAAGAGCATGGCGCTTTGTTCCATGTGGTAGTCATCTTCCAGCGATCAGACTTCAAAGCACAGTGAGCCACAAATCTGTTGCAATGTTTGCAATGATTGCATTGTTTGGCTTATATCTCGGGAATCAGAAAGGCTATATATGCAAACTTATATATCATTAGAAAGCCTATGGTATGGGCTTTCAAATGACATTTGGATGATTGCGTGTTATAACCCGTGGTATGGAATACATCTGGCAAGATCCCTGGATCTCGAAATGCCTAAGCCAGTAAATCAGCTTTACCATTGTTGAGATATAAATTGTGCATTATAAAAAGTGCATTGCAACAGTTTTGTGGCTGACAGTTCTGAAAATAAAAATGTGCCCTTGCAGAAGTTTGTTTGCTTTGAGGTTTGAATTATATAATATTTGTTGAACTTCAACATGAGTCAATAAACACCAAACAGACTGTTAAACTTCAACACCATCATCATGAAAAAACTTTCTGCTACTCAAACTGCTCAAATTCTCTCTTTAATTGATCAAGGCCATTCTGCCAGACAGATTGCTCATCTGATATCCATTGCTCCAATATGTCCCAAATACACTCAACATTGTCCTGACATGCCTACATCTGGTTGAGGTCATCCTAGCAGGCATAATCCAGGAATCATATGCTATGCCACTCACCTTCTTATCACTGAACAGGCAGATACTGCTGCTCAAGTGACAAAACACCTCCAAGATGTTGTCAGTCAGACTTTATACTTTATACATGGAGACTATGCATAGAAAGGTCAAAAGTGCTGGTCTAAGGCTGTGCTCAAGCACAAACACCCTCTTCTCTCTAAATATCATAAGAGAGAAAGACTGAAGTTTGCTGTTAGCCATAAGCACTGGACTGTGAAGGACTAAAATGGGGTTGTTTGTTCAGATAAGATCAAAGTTAACAGATAAGGGCTCACATGGGAGGAAATGGATGTGAAAGAAGCCAGGGAAGGGTTTCAGCGATAGACTGGTAGAAGGAACACTCAAGTTTAGAGGTGAAACCTGATAATGTGGGGGTGTATATACTGGGAGGGAATTGGGTATGCTTGCAAGATGGATGGCAAGATGTATGTAGACTTAATATTTCTATTCTGAAGGAATAACTTCAGAATAGCATGAGAAATGGGGAAAAACTGTGAATAATGTAATATTTCAGCAAGACAATGACCAAGAAGTGGCTAGAGAAGCATGGATTTAAGATTATGTATGGCCTGCATAGTTTTCAGATCTCAATCCTATAAAACACCTCTGGCACCATCTCAAAAGAAGGCTGAAACAGGCAAAAATACACCTGGAGGAATTATAAAACTTTGAAATAGGGTACAAAAGAAGTGAAGTGGTATTGAGGCTTCTGTCTGTCAAAATATAATCAATAGCATGCCAGACAGGGTTAGAAATTTGTTGAGGACAAAGGGAGGGTACGCAAAGTACTGAAGTTTGAAATTTTTGTACAGAATACTGTCAGCCACAAAACTGTTGCAATGCACTTTTTATAAAGAATAATTTATATCTCAACAAAGATAAGGCCGATTTACTCTAATTAGCTAGCATTTGAAAGTTCATGTCACAGGCTTTCTAATAATATATATGTTCGCATATATAGCTACTCCGATTCTTGAGATATAAGCCAAACAATGTGCCCACTGAAAACATTGCAATAGTTTTGTGGCTCACTATAAGTGTTATGTCTTCCAGGAGCGCATGGACATTGAGTGAGTCACAAAAGTATAGACCTCATTAGCATCCTCGAAAGCAGCAGAGGAGAATGCTGAGCTGATTTACAAATGGGCTTGCGAATCTATTCATGCTAAGTGGTGCTCATACATCTCAACAGCCCTTGATCTTAATGGTGCTTTGATCATTTGATCCAAAGAGTGCCCGGAGATCTCTGAGAGCTTCCTGATCTGAGTCTTGCATGAAGAACCTTTGGACCACCCAAACAAAAGCATTACAGATGTCATAATCGGCATTGTCTACCGTTACCACGATTATATCTAGGTAATGCTCTTCAATAATGATCTCAATACTAGCCTGAATGCAATGAAACTGTGCAGCATCATCTGGCTCAGCATCATTCAGATATGGAAACTCTTCCACTCTGAATGCTCAACGCCTGTAGTGCTCCAAACTTGACTTTGACATAGTAATTTGAACTCCAGATCATGCAGACAAGCATCAGGAACATAATATTTCTTCTCAAAATAACTATTATAAATCTGGTACTTACCATATAGTGCAGGCACCCACCAGACTTTCAAGGAGGTATACTCGCGAAGTCCATTCGGCGGCGATGCAGAGAGGACAACTCCATGAAGCCATTCATGACCATAATTTGTTTGGGTGAAAATCCTCAACAGGTTCCCCTCACAATGAGGCACAGAATCCTCTTGGGCAACCCTGAAGCACCTGGGGAGAAGATAGTTTCATTGCTGAGAAGTGCAAAATTGTCTGGTGAGTTATCAGGCAAGCGTTTCATATTCCACATCTGAGATTCAGTGTCAGAGACTGCCTGAAGGAGGCATGAAATCTGTCATAGTCATTAACATGAGGCACAGAGTGGAGGTGGTGAAAGACCATTCCTCTTCACCACAAGGAAAGCAGAAAGAGGCATCGTTGTGACATTCTTTTTCCTGAGATCAAAGGCGAGGAGTAGAAGTAGTCGCTGAGAAGCAAGGAGGCAGAAATTCAGTCCTCCAAAAGGACCAGAACAAGGTGGAGAATTGTTGAACCTTCCTTTAGTATTATGCTTACTAAAACGTTTGCCCTTTCCCTTAGCAGCTGGCTTAGGACCTTCAAGCTGGGCTTGGATAGAAGTGGCCCTATCCACCCTGATATTTCTAAGGAGAAATTTCGAGAATATCTGCATTTTTGTGAACATCCTCCAAACTGAAGTGCATGGGCATTAGCTTCTCTAGCCAGAGACCCTTTTGAATATATGCATTCCTGTCCTCATGCTCTTGTCTAGACTAACAAATAGGGTCTCTAATTCATGAATATATTTGCGGACAGTTCACCCATGTCAACTGATAGCATATGAAAGTTTACAAGAAAGCAATAATCACAAAAATCAACCAATACAGCGCGGAGCTTTCAAGAATGAGAATTCTTGGTTATATAGAAACTTGGGTAAGCCATTACTGAGGCTTTAGGCTTCTGACTGCTAATAGTTTATATTATGATCTTCATAAGTGTGTCTCAGAAATATCTTAATTGTTTGACTGTTAACTACACCTGATGTGATTCAGAAATCATAATCTATTACATTATGTATCAATACCAGTATATTCAAGATCCACAGTATAAAATTCAACGCAGTGTTGCATAGATTGTCATCAAGCTAAATCTGTGATATGCTTGACTTTATAATTAGCTACAATTATAAAGTTTCACACTACTCTCTTCAATATATAGTGTAAGGTGAATGCTTTGTATTTCTGATGAAAGAATGATTAAGTTATGTACATATCTTGATCAGTCATCTATGACATATTTGACATGCTGACTGAGATTTCTAGAGAAAAAGGCTTACTGCCATTTTGAGAGCTTTCTATTGCCTTTGAGAAAGTGTAACTTGACAAGATATTTTCTCTACACTGTTGTCTTCATATCTCTCTGCAACACCGATAGAGAGGTAAGATTATGAATTTTGACAGATTATCATTTAAGCATAGCAGGACAGAAATTATGGATATCTGTACCAGTTTTTGCAGTAATAGAAAATACGACAGGGTCTGCGCTATGCAACACACCATAAACAACATTTCTGCATCTTCCATAGAGCATACACCTGTCTTTGCCTTGCTAATAGGTAAAATTGTTAAAAAGAACAATTTGAGGTGAATGAGTGTTCAATTTGGGTAAAGGGGCCATTTCTGGCAGAAACAATGTCTGAGGTTCTGACGTTCTTCATAATAAAGTTTATAATTTGATTATAGATATTCACCACATTGTATATTTTCATTGACAGAAATCAAAAATGGTGTAGTTGCTCAAGATGCAGCAGTTTTTAGAGTAATATCATGTTATTCAGCAAGGTTTAGTGTATATCTGTGTCATCTTTTCAATGATATGAAATGCTACAGGGTCTGCAATGTGTAATATGTAGAAGAGCTTTTCATTACCTGAAACTTGATTGAGACCACAAATAGGGCCTCAAGCTCTTTGATGTTCTTTCAAGGCATCCTCAACAATGTTATGAACCTTGAGAGTACTGCATGATTTGAGCTGTGTTGAAGTATTCAGAGTGGCCTCAGAAGGGCTGTTCATTATCCAAAACTTGGTTGAGCCACAACTCAGGTCCTTAAGGTCCTTTGACTTTCTTGCTGAGCATTTAATTAATCCTCCGCAATGTCATGAACCTTAGTGATACTGCAAGATATCTGCCATTTTGAGCTATGTTGAAATATTCAGAGTGATCTCAGAAAAGCTTTTCATGATGTGAAACTTGGTTGAGGCCACTCTTCAATGCCCTTCCTGGGCCTTCTCCCATGATACTGCAAGATATATTCCATTTTGAGCCATTTTTAAATATTTAGAGTGACCTCAGAAGAGCTTTTCATTATCTCAAACTTGGTTGAATCCACCCTTGATTTTCTTTCTGAGCATTCAATCTACACTTTCAGGATGTCATGAACCTTGATAGTGTTCATGATGGCTATATGCTGTGGCTAGCAGGATGCAATTGAAGGCATTGAACATCGCTATGCTGATCATGTAGGATTATGATTCCTGAGGGACGAAGGAGAGTTTGTATAGAACTGAGCACTTAGAGCGTTCTATGCAGCATTTTTTCGTCCCCTTGGGATACTTAAGCAAAGCGTGGAATAGTGGACCATTACAAAGTGATTTCATTTTCTGCCCCTGTGCTGAGGTTACGAGAGGGGCCTTCCTTCAAAATGTTCATGACGTGGCTGGTTGAAATAGGTGCAAATATTCTCAGCCAATCACAGGACTGAATTTGCTAGGGTTAATGCCTGAAGGGCTGATGGCTTCAAAGCCATTGAAATCATTGTATTCAATGGCTTAAAAGTGGTGCAAAGCGATTCAAACCATAATCGTGAGCATTTTGTGATGTAGAATAAAAGGTTTAACATTTTCTGAACTTATTATCGTTTGCGCACGGCGAATGAGAATAGATCTTCATGTTGCATTGCTCTTCTTTCAAAATGTTCTTACTAGATACCGTTTTTATGTTACTGTTATTTTAAAATGTTCTTACTACATAATGTTTCATTGTTACTGATGCTTGTTATCGTTTTTAATGAACATACAAGCCGGAGTTTTAACCTGCATGACGCAGCTGATTCAAATACATGCAAATATTATGAGCCAATCGCAGCACTGAATTTGCTACGGTTAATGCCTGAAGGGCTGATGGCTTCAAAGCTGTTGAAATCATTGTATTTAATGGCTTGAAAGTGGTGCAAAGCTCAGTATTCAATGGCTTAAAACCAGTTCAAACTTTGGCATTCACCCTTTTGTGATGTATAATGATTGGTTTGATATTTTTCTGATTTATTATAGTCTGGACACAATCAATAAGAATAGATCTTCACATTATATTGCTCTACATTTCAACTTCTTCATCCACAGCATACAAAAACTAAACATACCGCTGAGATTCATCGACCTCATTTGAGTTTGATTTTCTCAATGGCTGATGAGGTATATATTTCTGACATTATATGTAACTCATATTGTCCTCTCAGTATGGACTGCCAGTACATAGAGTGTGCACCGTGGATAGCACTTTCAATCTGATCCTGAGCCACCCTGTGATGAATGTGATCATCTTTTGTTTGGGTGGCGGAGTCACTGATCGTGCTGAGGTCATATTTTTTTTTACAGTCTCGTACATTGTGGCATTACTTTGTGATTGTAGAAAATGTTGGACCTGATACCAGGGCAGTCGATGTTCACCAATTTTCTCGAAATACAGGTGACAAGTTGTCACATGTTGAGTGATTGATAAATTCTGCTCAGTGCTTATGTTTGTTCCTGAAATGGTAGCACGGAAAATTTCCTTTAGGAAATGAGTATTTAATTCCATATTTGATAAGTATCGGTTGTTCTCCAGCCACTGCTGGAAAAAATGTTAGGCCTCATAATGGGGTGGTTGATGTTCACTAATCTTTTAGAAGTATGGGCCCTAAGTCATCACTCATTGAGATAGTTGTAAGTTCCATTTAGTGCTTATATTCGTTCTCAAAATGGTCAGATGGAAAACTCCATTTGGTATGGGCATCTGTTTCTCTAAATGAAATGGGTGTCTGTTATCGGATTAGGATGTGGTGCTTATTCATTTGACTTAGTGTCTGAATGGAAGTGTCTCTGATGGTTTGTTGGCAAAGTCACAGCCACTGCTCAGATGGGATGGTTTTTGAGGCTGCTGTATCCTAGAGGAAGTTGGAAGCTGTGTATTATGGTGGAGCTGAGAGAGATTATACTCTGTGAATTAAAATTATCCTTAATATATTTCTCTCATTCACAGGTTTTCTGGAGGAACACATTTTCTGACTAATGCTCTGTGTTGCAGAGGCTCATGAGAAAAAGCACATTTGCTATCACATCTGACCTCTACGTGCAAAAGGAGTCAATTGTGATCCTCTCTGTTCTGACTGAAAGAAACAGTGATGATAAAGATGCTTTTGTAATCTCTTGATTTATTTATCATTTATATAGATGTTCAAACGGTCTCTTTTGTCATACTGACCGTTGATGAAAAGGCTTTTCATTATTATATATCAGTCATAATTTGGAACATCAATCGAATGTGGTTTTCTTGTTGTAGATTCTTCATGTCTGTATTAGTGTAGGGAGTAAATAGTAGCTCATTGAATGAAAACTTACCGCTACGCTCATGACCCATTTGGTCACATTTGATTTTCATCGTCGACTTTCCATCACAGCAATGGGTCAGTGTAATGCTAAATCTGTTTGCATTTATGAAAAATGTCTGAGCTAAGGATGATCATGGTGTTGGCCGATAATCTTCTTCTTTCAGTATGTACATTTATTATACAGGCATTTGAAGATGCATTTATGTGCCAATGTTGAGTGTTGTGGTGGCAGATTAATGAACTGCTTTCAGAGATTACTTTTCACGTAGATATATCCTTCTCAGATTCATGGAGGTTGTGGCACTGACTCGAGTTGGTAATGTGTTAATACTGTGATGTGAACTATTCTTTGTGGCTCTGGACATGCAGCCCAGAGCCACCTGACATTCTGCGCTGCACTTTTTTGATGTGGCTGAATGTACATTGATCATCGATCACGACGTTCTAAATGGGGTTGGTCACCGGTGAGGCAGTTCTTTTCTCAAGCATGGATTAACAAGATGTGTTCATATCAGCAGTCTCAGTTTTCTGGGTGTTGTGAGCATTCAGTTATTGTTGATAGTGGCCGGTAATAACATTCCCGACCAAGTTTCTGACTCAGAGATTTCTTTATTTGGTGATATCTTTGTGTTTGGGAACAGTGTCATTTGTGAGAGATATTTCCTGAGGATGGCAAGTATTTATAAGCAGAAAATACAGATTCTGTCAGTTCTTTGATGTTCTCATGTTCAGCATTCACACACTCCATGTTCTGCTATCCTTCAAGGTGTTTCATCCTTGCTGTGTTAGCATTGTTGAGGTATAAGTTAATCTGTGAATAGGCCAGTATTAAATGTTATATCTAGATTTATCTGTCCACTGGTGAGACAGTCCTTTCATGGAGTTAAGATTCACAAGATGTGTTCATATGAGAACTCTCAGTTTTCTGGGCCTTGAAAGTGTTCGGTTAATGCTGGTGGCAGCCAGTAATAATGTTCTGGACTGAGTTTATGGGTCATAGATGCCTTTATTCAGTGATAGCATTGTGTTCGAGAACAGAATCATTGGTGGGAGACATTTGCCAAGGATGACAAGTATCTGTGAGTGAGAAAAATTACAGATTCCATCAGTTCTCTGATGTTCTCATATTCAGTATTCACACACACCATGTTCTGTTATCTTTCAAGGTGTTTCACCCTTGCTGTGTCGGCATTGTTGAGGTATGTGTTAATCTCTGAATAGACCTGTATTCAATGTTATATCTAGATTTGTCTGTCCACGGACAGCAGTGTTTGTGCAGTGTGAAGGGTCAAGCTCATTTACATGAAGGTGAGAGCTATATTTTTCCCATGAGATATGAGTACTTCTTACAGCATCCGGGAAATGAGAACATTGCTTTCACATGCATTTACTGCATGTTGATGTCATAAAGGCAGGTCATTCAGGAACTCCTCCTCTCTCATTCTGCTCCTGGTACACCTCTGCTTGCTTTTTTTGCTACCCTTTCATCTCTTCCACCATGTCTGCACCCTCTCAGTCAGTGATCTCAGATGATGGTGTCATGTTGGTCCTGCAAGACCTGCTTCAGAATATATTGCAACAGATTCTGCGTGCTCAGATGATTGTTCTGCCATGGGTTCCTCTTATGGATGATGACGCCATTAACTTCTGGTGGAGAGAGTTGTTTGAGCTCTACGAATTATTGGTAAGCTTGTACTATATTTTCTGAGTTGAATGAAATGTATTGACTATCTCCAGGGCCAGTTAGTCTTTGTTAGATATGCACTCGCTCGATATGGGGTTGCCATTGAGGAGCTGTCAGCAGAGTTCATGAGATATATGCAACCATGTGCATGAGGGTGGAGATGTTAGTGCAGTCTCACTTTTACCAGTCGGAGGCCATGTACATATTGAATACTCTTGATGACTGCACAATCCTCCCCACCAGGGCTGCGACCATTTATATTTACAGTTTGCTTCAGAACGCTGGTGTTACTGCACACATCCTTTGTCATGTGTTTTCTGGTCAAGCAGGTGACATCCTCGTTGAACTTCTGGATAAGGTAATTGAGGATGAGGCCCATGAGAATGCAGCCCTTGCAAGGCCCACATTACAATCTTCAACGGGTCCATCAGTGGTCACTTCATCATCTTTAGCATGCCCTGGAGCATTGGTAGCTGCACGATCAGTTCATCACCAGCCATCGTGATCAATTCCAGTTCCCTCCTCCTCAGTTTCCAGGAACCAGGCCAAATCTTCAGCATCATCTTTGTCAGCCTCTGTGGATTGTGGTGCTGCAGTTGCGTTGTCTGCTGCTGATTCATTGATTGAACACACTGGAGACCATCACAGTCATATGATGCCTGCACAAAGGCTCTCTGGATTGGGTGACATTGCCACTGATTGTGGGATCGGTCATGATCCGAAAGTGAGTCTGAGTTACCGAATATGTTCTTAAAATTTGAGCTCTCTTCGTTAGGAGCCATGCATCAGTCGTGATGACCCTGGGGAGGCAGCAAATCTGTCAAAGATGATGAAAAAGCTGAAGATGACAGAAAAGCCGTCGCAGGTGAAGGTAGGACTTTATCAGCATGTTATTTGTTTTTTTGTTCACCACGCCACTTTTAGATGGACACTACTGTCACTTACCGTGAAGAAGAGGATCTCGAATCAGAGATTTTGAAGGGTGGTGAAGAGCAACCAGTGGTATAGTTATTTCATGCTTATGTGTCACTTGTTACTAACTCGTAATTATCAGGGGTCCTTTGCATCTTTGGCAGTGGACAATGACACAGTTGTGGGGCCATCATGCAATTGCACAGAAACATCATCTTTTGCTGCAGAGCATGACAAATGCAGATGTGATATATCAGTTTCACCTATTGACATGCTTTCGATGGCCTCTCCTCTGGCTGGATCACTGCCTCCATCTTCAGCCCCAATCACTACCAACCCTGAAGCGGCATCTCATGTAGGGGTTCCATTTTTATGTTTGAAGTGAGATTCTTAAAGTTCTTGATATCACAGGCAGATGACCACGCATATGCCAGCATCGAGAACTTGAGCCAGCACTCGAAGCCATGATTCACCGAAGTTTGGTTGGCCGAGCCACCCTGCAATCTCTGTCGAAACCTGCACGTACCTTGTCAGTGGGATGGGTGTGGGCATTCCTGCCAGCAGTGTCTTTTGAGCAAGGATGCATACCAGTTGGCAAAGCTCAACCCCTTGAAAGATAGTGATACTCGTACATTTTTATTTATTTCCTATTCTCCAGACTAAATGCAATCAGAGTAGAGTTTTCGCGGTTCATTGGGCTGGATAATGTTATGCACAGTGAACCCATCCTCGTTCAATGATCGTTGTATGGGTCACCATCTCAGATGCGAGGTGCGTTGCCAGCTGAGATTAACTCACAGCTCCATCCACCTTTGTTGATCATGTGCTCTGCTGAAGGAGAGCAAGGTACCATGCTTGAGCCCATCAGCTTAATCTCACAGGGCAGTAATTCCCAATGATGGGTGAAATCTGGACCATCACATCTCTCCACTGCACCCTCTGCTCTGCAATCTAGGCTGTCTCATCTCCACTCATTATGTTCTTGTGCAGGGCCCTCAGCTTTGGGCCCTGTGCCATTGTGTTCGATTCCTTATGTACTGCTCCCAGCTGTGAGCTCTCGAGAGGTTAAGCATTCATGGGAGTTCACCATCAAGAAATGCTTATCATCGTTGATGACTTCGAATGACCATGACGGAGAAGATGAGCTCAACATTATTCATACTCCATGGCGAATTCACCAGCTTGTGCAACCACGATGAGTCGAGTCCTCAGCAAATGCGTCAAATGCCAGTGCTCTGGCAGTAAATGAGCCTAGTGACAAAGAGAATGATGTGACCAAGAAGGACGATGAGGCCATCGTGAGTACGAAGGAGAAGGGCAAGGGCAAGGAAAGGGTGCACGAGTAGGATGTGGATCAGTGGATTCAAATGAGTTTTGACCTTCTGCACCATATTCACAGCCTGGGGGGGCTTAAAGGCCAGGTTCAACATCTGGCTAATAATGTTCAATGGCTCTTAAATGTATTTGGAAAAGCAGTAGCTTTCTGTTTGCATCTTTGTATCTATTGATTGAATGTAAATTCGGTTAATGCGTGCTTAGTTGATTTGAATAAAGCTGGTTTGCGGACGAATCTGAGTCTATGTCTGAGTGAAAAAATCAGTTGTTACAATTCTCATTGGAAGGTGATCATTACGTAGTAATCGTGTCTCCTCATACGGATAGGTCTGTAGTACACTATTTGATCCATTACCCATCAATGCTTTGTTCACATGTGTCCTCATTTTCATCTGCATCGTTGATGCCTTCTATGACCTTCTTTCATTGAGGGCATGATTTACTGCTTTCTTTTGATGCTGAGTCATCCATGCCAAGTTGCACCTTACGCTCTCAAAGTTCAGTTAAAAACTCGGCCACTCTCAGAACCTTGCAGAGGGAATGCTCCAAAGAAATGTGATCGTATCACAGTTCTTTGATCTTTTTGACAAATAATTCATCTCGTATGAATCCATCGACTTTGCGAAGGGCATTGATCACACTTTCTTTTGCAGGCTTTTTGGTCTCCCTAAGTGGAAGGAGGTCAAGGAGCCGTAAACCTTTGAGTGCACCAGAATTCAAATTCACAACAGAATCTGCAACCTTTTCCATGATAGGTGACTCCATGATCCTGGCATATATCATATTCGTGCACGTGGGTATTGTGCAAGAGGTCCAAAATTTTGAATTGACTTTGAAGTGGTATCCGTGGGTGTCAGCTTATCTCCTTCTTTTGTAGCTCTTCTCAACCATTTCAGCATATCTGAAAATGCAATAGGTCCGTCATGCAGCATGTGCTTGAGATCGCAAGTATTCACGAATTTACACATGGCATCCACATTCTCAACAACTTGACCTTTCTGAAATTGATTGCTGATGGCTCGTCAGTTGCAGAAGAGGTCGAGGTCATCAATCTCATCTGGGAAATGTTTCTTCACCGACATCAGATATTCTTTCCAATCCTCGAGTGACATGAAGATCGCTCTTCGATTTGCTGGTGAAAATCTGGGTGGGTATAAGCAGGGGAGCTGAAGATGATGTGTCCATAGACCAGTGTGCTGAAAAGGTAATACAGTTGATATCATCTGATGTCGTTTAGTGCAAGTCCACCCAGCACATTGTATGCTTTGCGAAAGCTACTGAACTCGTGAAATGGCATATAGTGATCAGCTCTCACTTTCATCACCTTTTGTAAGGTCGAGGGTCAGTTTTCTTTCAGTTTTTGAATGAGCTAAACTGCCTCTCTGATCAGAGTCAGGATGATATTCTTGCATTAGTCTTCTGAAAGGTCGTGCACATCTGCTGTTCTATTTGCTGAGCAATTTTCTGCAGTGGCCATCATGTCAGCTTCAGGGAGAATGGATGATATAATGATTTGCGCTGGGTGTCTGGATGGTTTAGACAGTTCTTGTGCACGTGGATCGGTCTCAGCCTGAAAATCAATGCATTTTTGGTGCAGCTGTTTCAGGGAGTATGAGTCAAGGCCATCATGAAGCCGAAGAGAACTGCGATCCAAAGCGTCAATAAAGTCGCTCATCATTCCAGGACACAGGTCACGTGAGCTATTTCAAATGTAGTCATTCAGTAACCAGAGAGGTGTTTTTTCATACATCTCTCAAGTTGAAGGCAACAGCAGAGCACCAGAACTGAGGTGCCTGAGGAGAATATCGATGAACTCCGTGTGGAGATTTACTGTAATGTGATTCATCACATCCATCCAACATAGAATGATATCTGTAATGATCTGTGAGATTTTCATGTTGCTTCAGATGTCAGATAGCTGAGAGTTTTCTTCGAGCAAAATTAATATTGGTGACTTGGAGTGAGGAATGGAAAAAAACTGTTGGAGTCTACCATGAAATTTGCTCTCATAAGAAGTTTGGTCTTCACCATCCAGATTAGATGTTCGAGCCAATTCGCTTGCTTTCAAGCTGAGATCAGTTCAGTCAGTTCATGGTAACATTTACTGAGGAGTTGCTGTGTCTTTTGATGGCAGAGCTTGATAAAATGAAGAGATCCAAATTACTCTAACAGCATGATTCGCTAACACGCCATTGCATGCAAAACACGCAGAAGGTCAGTGTGGGCATGCAGATTCTCGTTTGTCTCCCAGTACTGTGTGGCCTTGGTAAAGGAGAAAGATTTCTTCATGTTTCAGATCTTTACAGTGTCGAGGGAAGCTAAAACATCTTTGATGGTAGACGACATCTCTTCCTTGATGGTGGTCAGTGCCTGGTCAAATTGCACTTGTTTTTCAATGCATTTCATGATAGTGAGAGAGTCCAGATAGAGTTTGCCTGGACAGTGAGATAGCATGGTTACAGATTGGAGGTGACACCAACAAAGTGTTGCTTACGATATAGTGACCTTCATGTTTTGATGGGTCGAGATATGCTCGCTCTTCCACGTTCGTTCTTATCACCCTCATTGTCCTCATCCACAAACACAGCTAGAGCATTTTCATGCTCATCATCAGGTGTCATATGCATGTTTTGTAGAAAATTAGAGGTCATCACCTGATGGTCCATACGAGTATCTGAAGTTGAGCTGTAGGCTCAGGCATTGATGCATTCATTCAAGTCCTTGCTTTGTGATGACATTTCATTGTGGAAAATGTGGTGGTAAGACGGTACGACCTGTGGATGATTTTTGTAATTCACATATCGATCATGCACGGTGGTCTCAATGCTTTTGATATGTGTCAGGGTTTCACATGTTCTTCACGCCATCTCCATACAGATCAAACTGTGTATGTTCATCACCATCTGCCATCTCATACATTTTGTCATCTCGCTCTTCTTTCTCTGGAGGAAGTGGTGTGGACGCTGCACTAGCAGGCCTGGAGTAGGATAATTGAGAGTGGGTAAGCTCATCACAGTGGCCACGCCTTGCATATACTCCGAGTTTTGAAATGCCATGGGCATGGTTCACTTTGCACTCCTTGATGGTTGTACTGCTGAGTGCGTCTGAAATGCTGCATTGTTTATTTAGAGTGTGAAATGAAAAAAGATCGTGGAGCAACTCTCACACTTTTTCTTCATTGCCTGCTTTGTTCCTTCTGCAGATCGTCTCAGTCCAACAATCATTTCAGTCCTACAATCATTGTTAACAAATAAACAAAAAAATGAGGATATACCTTTCTTGCTTTGATAAATGGGTTTTACAGATAAGCTGGCATATTTTGTTGGCACTGTAGAGATATGATGAGCCATCTTTTCATAAAAATCACTGAGGACACATTGTCAAACATTAGACCTGGACAGCTGTCAGGACAGTAAGTGTTCTGGGATGTCTTCATCATCGCGAAGTGGGTGTACAGCCAGTCCTGGAGCCAAATCCTAGCTGGGGAGGCCGACGCATTCACTTTGATGATTAGCAATGGTGAAGGATTGGATAAATGAATCCAGATTGATGTGAACATTATATTCACAGGAAGCTGCGAAAACATTGTGTGGGCAAGTTGTAATGTCGCTCAGGCCATCCACGAGACGTGTTTAACAGGATCCATCACGAGCTGTTCATCTTTGGTCAGGTTCGAGTGATTGATCCAGGATCTGATCTGGGGAATGCCACGTTCATTCAGGGGAAGGTTACAACTGTTAAAGACAATCAAATTAAGGTTTATGATACACGGTGGGACGTGAGGACTTACTTGACACCCGTAATCTCAGGGGTTATATGTAGCAGCTCGTTGGACTTGGGTAATGTGGTCATAGGCAAAGTCGTCATGGCATGCTTCGATGAGCCTTCGATGATTGCACTAGATGGGTATCCTATGGTGGTGAATCTGTATGCCCAAGACAGCAGTTCCTCTCCTGCAGAGGCGATGGAAGCTGTTCCACCATGGTCTATGCACCCTGTGAAGTAGATTACTCGACTAGGGGTGAGAATGAAGTATATGCCTAGACCAGAAAAAAAAAAGAGTCCCTTGTCATATCCTGACAGCAAATCTGAGCCACATGTCATGCAGGACATTTCTATGATGCTGTCAAAGTTGGCGCAGTGTTTTTTGCCAAAAACTCCCATCGACTTGTCGAGTTCATTTGCTGAATGTCACTGTTAAATGGGATACTGATAACGTCATCAGAGCTGTCACTTATCACTATTGTCAGCTTGAGCAGGAGCGAGGTTCAATTGCCATGATGTGAGGTGGCCAGCATGGCTGCCCTCACTATAATTGTGCTCTCTAACATTTGACAGCAAGCTCAGAGCAGAACAGGCACATTGCGTTCGGGGTGGAACAGGTACATCGAGTCTGTGCTACAGATCATCTACATGGACAGGGCCCTCTAAACCTCAGGACGTGACCTCAGAACTGACCATCACCTCCAGGAAAGTCCTCCAGGTGCAGCGTACAGTCTGAATCATCACCAGCTGCTACAGGCATAGAGGTGTATGGCACTGCTGAAGGCTGGCCATGTTGGAGTGAAGGGGAGGTGGAAGCTTCAGAGGAGGGAACATTGGGGCACATCAATCTCCACCTGAGTGTGTCAAGCAAGTGTTGCTGCAATCGAGGGTCCGAGAAAAGATCCTCAACCATTGTGGCTGACCTCGAACCATGATCGTGTGACAAAGGAAAGGTGGTGAGGGCACGGAGATCACAGATCCACTTAAAGGAGTCAGTTGGTGGCACCTGCATTCCGGTCCAGGTGAGCTCAGTGCAGGCAGTGTCAGTGAGCTTCTGAGGCTATGGGTCAATCCAAATGGAGGAGAAAAAGGAAAACATAGGACACGTACCAGGAGAAATTGGACTCAGTGGTGCCATTCATTCCACTCAACAACAGCGAGATGCAAATCAGACAAAACGTGTATGCGTTACACGAACAGAGCCTCAAGCAGCAGAAGGTATCGATGTACATATGTGCAGGGTGTAGATGAATCGCTGTTCACCAGGGATGCCATCTGGTGTGTGAGACATGGCAAGATGAGAATAGGGTGGAGAGTGGCAACGGCTGGGAGGGGCACGAGAAGAGGTGGACGGGTTGAGATGTGGACGTGTTCAAGGATTGCAGCTGTGGACCAGATGAGGTACCGAGGGGAGACCACATCTGAGACAATGTCAGAAAACCTCAGCATATGAGCATGGGCCAAGAAACAGGTGAAACTGTTGGGGCAGCATGGGCGAGGTGTTTGAAGAACAGACAGGGCACCTTTGGATCAGGGACAAGGGAACTTCTGCGGTACGAGATGACTGCTGGCATGGGCCCTCAAGGAATGCAGTGAGCGGAGTGTGACACAGGCAAATAGAAGACAAGGAATTCAGAACGAGATGTGATGGGGTGGTCCACAGCAGCAGACCCTTCAAGGGATTCAGAATAAGATGAGTGAGGTGAGGGAACGAGTTACAGGACCAAGCAGGGTCCGATGTGCGATTGAGTCTCAGGCAAACATGCCCTGAGGGCGTAGTATAAAAGGGTGGTGTAGTTAGATAGTTGGAAGGAGCTCTCAGATGGTGTATGTATCTAGGAGCTAGAGTATGTGAAGGGGCTTGCACAGCAGTGCACAGAGACAGTGGTCTCCCTCTCCTCCACCACCTACTGCTTCTACTTCATGATCTAATCAGAATCTTTGCTCTCACTGTTGAACGCGGTTGACTGACCACCAGAACATCACCACTGAGACGGTATGCCTGCCTCTCGAGACTCCTGTACTCCATCCGGAAGTCATTAGACTCATCCCTGAACCATTCTATCATGCATATCTCGCATATATCGCCCCAGCCCGTACACTCTACATGGCTGGTGGTCTGTTGGCTGCTGTGTTGATTCACTTCTTCACCATATTTTACATTTGGCTCTTGCATCACCTTTAGATGCAGACCTTCCCCACACTGTTCCCCCTTCACCCCACTTGGTTGTTTGCTGTCCTTTCACAGCTAGCTGAGTACTCGCAATTACAACGATGTAAAGAATACATTATCTGGACATCCAATGTGTGGAGTGTTGATCACGTTAGCATAATTTTGCAGATTCTTGACCATCTATGGAGGCTCCTCCTTCAGAAACTGGTCTGTCACATATGCAGATACAGTCTGTGATTGCACGTTAACTATATACCTGCGGTGTTGCATAGATTAGAATGAGCACCTTCAAGAAACCCTCTTGCATCTGGAGGTGTGGATCGTCGATATTTCCATCATAAATCTTGTCATTTGCCATGGACTCATTTGCCAGATGAGGCTTTTTAACCAACAATCTGAACAGATAGCATCATGTACCACTAACGAACAGTTTTGCTCGACTGTCTTGTTCGAACGCTGTGACATCTCTTGTGTGAAATTCACAAGGACCTAAGATCTGCATTCTTCGCTTTTCGAATGCGACACAGAGCGTAGCACTTTGCAAAGTACTACCACATCATCTGAGCATCATGTGCAGATGTGGTAACCTTCGTACGTACTCAGATGGCATGAACACGATAACAGCATCATCCAGAGGGTTCCTCTCTCCATCCTGATCCCTATTCATGATTCATGTGTCAGGTCCTATCTCAAAGTAACCTGGACTGCATTTAATATCATTGAATGACTTCTGCAAACATTTGCCAGTGCACCTGGATACCTCCTATCCATATCATCCAGCTTTCCTAGAGGTATTCCTAAGTCCTTCACTCTTTTCAATTTCATCTTTTTTCCTGCATCTGTCCCATCCACCAGTATGATGATCGTCTTTCCACACAGAACACTGGTAGGATGAAGTGGATGATGACCTTCATATTCATAAAGTCTGGGAAGGTACTCATCTCGGCTCTGAATATTGAGCAGCACAAGCAACCGATGAGCTGGCAAAAGTTCCATGGTTAAAGTGAGTGTATAGTGGGTGGGATGGTGAAGACATTCACTGCATGTGGCGATCAGACATGAGCGTTGGCGGCTGGGGGTGTCGACTGCATCATCACTTTTGTTTGGATTCACACAATAACATTCTGAAAATAATTCAAATGTATATTCAATCAAGATAGGTTGAAACTAGTATAAGATCAGCGGATTTGCCATCCGTTTACCACATTTTCTGACCATCCACGTCAAAGCATGACCATCCACATGAAAGATGGGTGGTGGCACATTTCTTGCTATTCAAATAGCAGCAAATCATGATGTCTGTTGTTCGTGCATCTAGCCAGTTGCATGAATGGTAAATGTCATCGTTTAGAATTATTTTATCTTTTCCTGCCCTCTGCGCAAGGTGGATAATGGATGGAGAGGCTGTGGTGCATTTCTTGATGATCAAACAACATCAAACCATGACATTTGCTGTTGACGCAACTAGCTAGTTGCACGAACTGCAAACGTCATAGTTTGGGATTATTTGCAGCTTTTGTGGATGGTGGCTGACAGGGATGACGGGAGGGGGAACATCACAGCATTCACCGATGATGCGTTTGTGCCATGCATCATGGGCTCCTGATCTTTCAGCTAAGCTGGCCATTAGCGAAAAATTTGAAGCCGTGCTTCAGCTCACCTGCTTCCTCACTGTTCTTATTGTGCCATCTTGATCATTATACTGCTGCCTCACATCACATGGTGTTGTCTTCCCAGATAAAATCATTTTCTCTGTCGATGGATGTCACCAATGCTGTTGACAAGGTTTCTCAAAGCGAAAGCTGATGGTGAGTAATGGATTGTCGTCAGGGATTCGACGTGGTGTTTGTTTCGTAGCACTTAGTGGAGAGTCATATGAAGAGGAAGTGTCGCTCTGTCTTCAGGACTATGGCTTGTGTGAGGATGCAGCTTATCTGCCACTTCATGGTCATGTTTGAGGTAGTAATATTTGTTCATTCATTTCTGCACTAATCATTACTTTCTATTAGAGGTGCCCTGTTGGCCATGTTCGCTACCTCTTGTTGAACATCTCACATATATGTGCTATGGTAGTTACTCTAAGAATTGATGCTCTATGGCTGCTGTATCTGCTCACATGCAAGTTTTACCAAACTGAGTGACTACAATGAGGTTGATGCCTTCAGCTCATGTCAACGATTGCTCTTGAAGATTTTCCTTAGATTTTTCTTAGAAGAAGTTCCTTTCAATGCACAAGTCCTCCTCGAAGAGGATGATGAGGACTCATCGTACACACCAGCTCTGATCTCTCCACTGAATGCTTGTCTGAGTAGCAGAAGGCATTTGAAGTTCTCAAGTTTATGAGGTCCTCCTCATACTTTTCATTACAGAACTTCTTGGAGATGATGTTCATATCCAAGTCTAGAGAAATACAGAATTACTCCAAGATCTTTATGGCTGATGGTGGAGCATGGAGCTTCATGCAGATCTTGTGAGACTTTGACGGGATGCAAGCATGTGATCTGAATGAATGGGTGCTCGAGCATGCTGCACAGATATGTGCATGAGGGTTAGAAGCTAGTGCATTTATTGCCAGAAATATGATGGCATGAGAGAGTGCACAAGCATGATGTGACAAGCACCCATCGTAAGATGCATAAGGTCCTTTAAGGTGGATGATTGTGTCCCAGACCCTCACAGACAGGTTTTCTTTAATGTTCATGATGGGATGGTTCGAGACTAGACCTCAATACCAGACACACAAAATGTTAAGCATAGCAGAAGCTCGATGACATCATATAATATTTACAATGTTTAACAATTGTCTTTTAGCACTATATAAGAACAGTCACAGAGATCTTAACTGATCCCAAGACAGCTCACCTCTATCATATTAAAAATGCTTATACTGCATTATAAGAGAAAGATAAACTCCATTTCATTTACAATCTCAAAGATTAATCAGAGAAAACTCTCATTTCAAATTCACATTAATTTTCTGAGATGGCAAGTGAGTGATTATAAAGAAGTTTAACTAATTGCCAATTATTGAGGGACTTTGAGGAATTCATGTTCTATTACTGACTTTGAAGAAAGAGTCATTGATGTCCTTATAGACTTCTTCAATGATTATTTATAGCAGCTTCACCTTCAAAATAAAAAGCATCTTTACAGTGACTTTTCAACTCTCTTTGTAGGTATATTACTTGGGTAAGAGGGCCATTTCTGGCAGGAACGATTCCTGAGGTCCTGAAATTTACTGATACTTTTATAAGTTTGTTGTGATATTTGTTGAAGCTACATGCAGCTGCTGTTGAAGAGAAGAATAATGATGTTCAGATGGACATGCTTGTTACCTCTAGGCCAATAACAGATTCATGTTGATCACGAACTCAGAATGCAGATAACCATCACTTTTATACAACCATCATTATATAATCATTTTTTATAAGTTACAACTTTAATAATTTTTATCATCACTCATAGTCCCATGACTACAATCATCTTCAACAACATTTTTTATAACTTTAACAATTTTCATCATTACTTTATTTGAATTATTTTTAGAAAATTTATTTTACTATTGAAATTATTTGTGTAATATGAATTGTTATCATTACTTCATTTGTGTCATTGTTTCAACAGCAAGTTTGTACCATCACTCTTATACAACTCTGACTATAGTTATCTTTTACAACAGTTGTTTTTACAACTTTAATAATTTTTATCATCACTCTCATACTGCTATGATTACAATCATCTTCAATGACAGTTTTTTTTAAACTTTAACAAATTTTATCTTTACTTTATTTAAATTATTTTTAACAGCAAGTTTGTACCATCACTCTTATACAACGATGACTATAATCATCTTTGACAACAGAAAAGTTTTAAAAAGCTTCAACACTTTTTATCATCACTCATACTATCTTGACTACAATCATTTTAAACAACATTTTTATCTCATTTTTAACAATAGTTGTTTATACAACTTTAACAATTTTTATCATCACCTTATTTAAATTATTTTAAATCTTGAAACTTTTTATGTTTACTTTTTCAACAACAACTTTTTATCATTGCTCTTATACAACCATGAGTACATAATCATCTTTGATACCAGTGGTTTTAACAACTTCAACAATTATTATCATCACTTTATTTGAATAATTTTTGCAACCCTGAAAATGTTTTATGTTCATGTTTTCAACACTAAGTTTTACCATCAGTGTTATACAACTATGACTATATTATTATCTTTAACAACAGTTGCTTGCACAATTTTAACAATTTTTATCATCACTTTATTGAAATTATTTTTACAATTTTCAACACCTTTTATCATCACTTTTTCAATAGCAAATGTTTACCATCACTGTTATTCAACCATGATTATAATTACCTTTAACAACAGAAAAGTATCAAAAGAACTCCAACACTTTTTATCATGACTCACATATTACGATGACTATTATGTTGAAGACAATGGTCAACTGACTACATCATTTATATCTTCTGACTTCCAGCATGTCAATCTGAATGCAGCACAAAATGACTGTAGAGCAGTACAGTTGAGAATGTCTAAGCTCAGGTGACTGAAAGCTTATGGGCACAGCAGAATAATGATCTCTGTAAGCTACTTGCAATCAATGGTTGAAGGTGTCCAGCAGCTAAAAATGTTTCTCAAGCCTGTTCAAAAGCTTGCTGGCCCCAAATGTCAATGCTGCCACTGGAAGATGGACGATGACACTTCCTTGGCTGTCATTTTTGTCAGACAGTAGATAAAGGACAATGAAGATTTGTTAGCAGCCTCATGTATGAAAAAGGTGAAGTATGAGGCAGCAGCATTAGGGCTTGAGATTTTGGCCTAGGTCTTATTGTTGATCCAATGAACCAGTTCTTTCATGACTCAACTCCAACACCATCATCTATAATTAGCACTGATTTTTCTCATCTGACTCTGATTCAATTGACCCCTTCATTGTCGATGCAGCATGCATCAATCACTCTCTTAAAAGTGATAAGTGATAGAAATGCTACACCTGGGCCTTCGAGATCGCTCACCATTCATATTTCAAGATCATTCATTTGAGATCACTCACCATTCGTATTCCAAGGTGATCAGCCAATGAGCGAAAGCTGATAATCCTGCTACCTCCCCCTGTCTATATGCAGAAAACATTTAAATGGACCACAGTTTGACCTCTTGCTGAGGAGGAAAGAGAAGCATCATTCTCAATGGAGGTATACTTGTTCAACTTCTATAATGACTTTCACTCTCCTCACTATAAGTATTCCCATCCTCATGGTTGCTTGCATGCCAATGCATTTCTTGTGCAGTGACATTGATCTGCTACAGCCTCAAAAGATGCTATATCTCAGGTCCCTATCTTGATGGGGTGGCCATTATATGGTCTGGATGCCTCAATGGACCAGTTTCTCCATGACTCATGCATGCCAATGCATCTCTCATGCAGTGACACTGGTGAGCCACACAGTTAGATTCGGGGTTGACAAGGAAGCACCTGATCAGCCAGTCACTGGTCTATTCAGATCTCAAACTGTTGCTACATTGGAGAGGTCACCTCCAAAGAAGAGACAGGTCCTCAAGTTTGATGGTGTGATTATTGCCAGAACAAAACTCACCATTGACCTGCCACAGCCTCAAAGATGCTATATCCCAGATCCCTAGTTTGATGGGGTGACCATTGTATGGTTTGTATGGATACAAGGTGAGAGAAGGTAAACATAACATATGTGACACTATGTTACTGCTTCTGTGATACTTTGCCCAACTTTTGGCTATGCTTAACACTAGTTTCACTGCTGCTGACATTGAAAACCTCACACATGCCATTGAATCATTAAATTGCTGTGATTGGCTCAGAATATATGCACCTGTTTGGATCAGCCATGTCATGCAGGTTCAAACTCCGACTTGTATGCTCATTAGAAAAGATAACAAACAGCAGTAAGAACAAAACATCATCTAGTAAGAAACTTTTGAAGGAAGGACCCTCTCCTAACCTCAGAACAGGGGCAGAAAATGAAACCACTTTGTAATGATCCACTGTCCCACGCTTTGTTTAAGTATCCTACAGAGATTCAAAAATGTTGCATAGACACCCTAAGTGCTCAGTCCTGTACAAACTCTTTCTTTGTACCTCAGAAATTATAATCTATACAAGCAGATCTGAGTTTTCAGCCACTATGGTAAAATTGATTGCTCTTATTTGCCTTTAGTGGCTGAGCCACAGCTTCAAATGTGGCTAATGATTTTCTACATATGTTTCTATTGGTTGAAAGATGCACAGAAGAAGAGAATAATGAGTAAAGGCTTTATAGAACATGCTGAAGTATATAAATGATTTATGCACAGCTTCAACAATGCATTTCCACAATAATACTCAGTGCTGTGGCTGAACTGTAAAACCTTAGCAGGCTTAGACATTGTTGACACTTTGATTTCTGAACATGCATTATAGAGTACACTGCATGCTGATGTTCACTTTGTAATGCTATTTCCTCATTTCATTTATACAAGCAGAATAGGTGAGACAATCTGAGTCTTCAGCCATTGTGATAAAATGCTGAAAATTCTGATCCATATTTTGACTTTTCAAAAGTTTGACCACATGAATAACACATGATACACTACATCTTCATGCCCTACAATGAGAACAACATGCAGATTATTTTCTGGCTCAAAAAAGCGAAGATTTGAGGCTACAGGATGTCAGCCATCTAAATTCCCACACTTTAAGTTGCCACAATGCGCAAATAAGACCAAATTATGACATTTGTCATTAGTGCAACTAGCTAGTTGCCCGAACGATAGACGTCATAGCTTGGCATTGAGCACACAATACTAATACTCAATTCCATTGCTCTAAAATTGAAAGATCTTCTTCCTGAGGCTCTGGGGCCTCAGAACATCATGCTTTTAGTCCGGAAAATGTTAGTTTTGCTGATGCACATAGAGCACTGGGTTTGAATTGGAGTTTGAATCTGACAAGGTGGCTGATCCCCATAAGTGCAAATATTCATGGCCAATCAGAGTGCTGCATCTGTGGTCAATATTCATCAAATTGATTGAATGCTTTCAAAACAATTCAAACATTTGCATTTCATCATTTTCTGATGTATGTAATCTGGCCCAACAATATACTATCATCTGAGTAATGTATCATTTAGCATTTTCCGGAGTTATGATAGTTTTCATTCCTGTTTTAACCAATAATTGCTGCAATTCAAGTTTTCAGCCACCAAAATAAAATGATTGGTTGTCTTTGGTGGCTGAGCCCCAGCCCTGTGTGGCTTGTGTATTTTTGAGGCTACATAGTTATAGTTGGTTGTATTTTATTGAGAAAAGTGGTAGAGAGATAGATGATGGTAAAAAGCATAATATTGACATAATTGGAACATACAAACAATGTATGCAGAGCCTTAAAAAGGCAGAATTAAAATTACACTTAGAGCTGCTATACAGTATAGGGTTGAGCTGAGAACCTTAGCAAACATTGATATTATTAACAACTTGAATGTTTAAAATGTATATACAGTATGTCATGTCCTTCTATCTCACATTGTGTATTTGTTATTAGCAATTCATCTTTTAATGATATATCAAATGTATATATGTGTTGAGTCAGACCAGTTCTAACTATGCTGTATTTGATCTTTCAAAGTACAAATTATATTACATCATACTCAATGAGGATGATCTGTGTAATTGTAATGACTCAAACCAGGCCTCACAGTATGAACAAGTGAACTCTATAAGACCTGTGAAATTGTCAGCCATTGTGAATTCTCATATTTGATAGATAGCTGACTTTTCTAAAGGTGGTGAACCCTCAAATGTTTTTTTAGTTTAAAAATCTGCCTGAAGCATGACGATCAAATCTATTGCATATAATTCACATGCATATTGCTCTAAAAAGTCAAGATATAGATCAGTCTTTTAAATAATGTTATCATAGTGTGAAACATGTTTTCACAAACTGAGTGTCCTTGCCCTTTAATAAATATCTGCACAGAATAGTCATATATTACAGAATATGAAGTATAGATAATTTCTGATATTGATTTCAACAGCTCTTCAAAAAACCAGAGTCAATGATAAGGTTTAGAAAAGATATGGCTGACAAAGGGACACATATTTCAAAAGCTAAAACATACTTCTGTTTGTGAAAAAAAGTGAACTAACACAGATACTCTGCAGATGTATTATGAATGTATGAAGTGAGAATTCTATCTCACAAAGTGTGCTCTATTTCTGTAGCAAAAAGTAATGATTATCCTTTATAGTACAAAATCTGCTGTATTCTCTATTGATCACAAAAAATGCATAATTGTCTACAGGTCATGTTCGACTATATCATTGTTATTCTCTGCTAACAACAAAGTCCATCATTCTGGTGTATATCATTGGACCAAGTCATTTGACTGTCACTTTGTTTTATCTATCTGAAACTTACTACAGTCTTAAATAATAATAAAAGTAAAAATGCTTGAAGGCACTTAAGATTAAAAATGCTTTAGTCAACCTATGAAGCATATCACAAGAAGACAAATAGAAAAAGGGCTAGCATAATGCTCAAGGCCAAAAATAATGCTGTGAATTTGTACAGCTCTTCTAATGAGACAAATTTTGAAACACTAAGGAGTTTACGAAATATCTTTCATGATTGAAATAGATTCATCCTAAGAAATTGACTCTATAATGTGACACACCAGTCATAATTACCATCAACAAGGCTACAGGGTAAAGGCTACAGAGTGTTGTGTTATCAATGGTGCAGAGACTGTATTGGCACATTAAAAGGTAAGACCTTTGCAGTATAACAAGCTGATTCTGAACATACTGTTTATCAAGCTAATCAAATTAGATGGGCTATCTGAAAATGTTGTTTTCATTAGCTACCAGCTCATGAAGGTTATTTGCATCATGCCTGATAATCACTATTGTGAAAAATCAGGTGACAATTGAGATCCAATTTTGCTATAACAGACTTAACCTCTTAGAGTCACACAAGATCTTACAATGTGTACACTAATCTGTTTGCAAGACTGGTCATTAACTTTACAAATTGATGTAAAATTATCTTTTCAGAGTGTCTATATATAACGGCACTATTGTTGTTTAAGGCTATGCATTGACTGGCAGCATTTCTGATTTACTTGAACAAAGATTCAGAGATCTTTAACTTAAATGGGATAGTCAAGCTGCATTGCAAATGAAAGGCTGCTGAATATAGTCAAAGATATCACTATATGTACTCATCAGTTGTTATACATCATAAAAGCAACTATATATATCTAAGACCATGGACAAACCATTCAAGCAAACTATTTTAAGGGAAATAATGATCAACTCTATCTACTGGATGAACCAGAGCATTGCAATTTCTGACATATGATAGTCAATACAACTAGAAAGTCTGAAGACATAAGAAAACCTCATTAAAACAGAAAAAAGTGAAGGAGATCAAGTTTATATATAAGTATATATCTGTCAAAGAAACAAAGATGATTTTCATCATCAGTGGTGAAAAGGATGAAAAACTTTACTTATTATGACTGTGTCAGTGATGTCAAAGGCAATAATAAAAAAAGAGAATCTTTCTCATCACTTATTATGCACTCAGATTCAGTGAGTTTCAGATAAAACAAAGATACTTATGTGTAGCTATACACAGAAAAGCTGTTTCTTCATGCTTTAAGATGTTTGAAGACCCTTCAAAGTAATCAAATAAATCTGTGAAAAGTTTAAATATTCTTCTTCACAATTTCATTAACATTTCAGTCAGGCATGCACAAGTTTATGCTTGAGAAAAGTTGCAAAAGATGTTGTTTATGCCATATTGCAAGTGCAGACTCTGCTGCAATTTTGATTACTGCAAAAAATGGTACAAATATTAACAGTTTGTATTTTGCTGCACTTAAATAATAATCTCACAATATTATATTCTGTCTTCATTATCATTACTGCAATGAAGATGTAAATAAAGCAAATGCTTCCTTTATTTACAAGCCTGCAGCTTGTCAAATAAAAAAACCGTTTTATCAAGGTAAGCATCTCGAAGATAATAAAAAGCTCTCACAATTACTGTAAAATTCTGAGTTATCATGTCAAACATGTTATAGATGACTGATTAGGAGATGCAGCTTTAACAATTTTTCAGACTTCTTATTATAAATCATCACAAAAAAAAGCAAGTTCAGCTTAATTGTGCACTATATATCAGAGGGTATCATGAAATTACTGCTAGCAATAGTTCAATATAAGGCCAATATGAAAGTGGCTAATCATAAACTCCTCAATAAAGCATATATGTTATTTAGATTGATGACAAGCTATACTAGACTCTGTTAAATTTTACTATATCTTTATACTGATTATGTGAAACACACTACTATATTAATACATTATGTGATACTTAGATATATCAGTTGTAAGAATCTAATAATGATCTATAGAAGTCAAATAATAAATATATTTCTGAAAGATCATGAAAATTATAATTTAAAAATAAAACACAGAATCTCAGAACTCAGAAAACATTTCTGCCAGTAATGGCCCTCTTACTCAAGTCTCTATAATACCTTTACCATCGTTCACTTCCAATTATCGATTGCTTCACCCAGTGATACCTGATCAACTGATTCTAGTACAATGATCATTGTATGGCTAGCCCATCATATGATCAGCAGGACAAATTCAAGCAAGTAATTCACCCAATCTGCATTCTCTTTCATTAAAGATATATATATATTTTAGCAGTTAAGTTTCAACTGTGGCATTTTATGAACTTATCGACAGTGAGAGTTCAATGCTTCTTAAAGCCATGATTGCATTGATTGACCTTGGCGTATAGAAAAGCATTTCACCCAGGGATCCAGGCCTGTGAAACTGTACTCAGGCTTGTTATAGGTTGTCACAAGAAAAACTAGTGGGCAGATCATCAATTATGCAGTGAAATAAGCAAAATGTGACAAAATTGCTGCATCAAAGCAAAGACAAGCATGAGCAGAGGCCTGTTAATGCATGTTCTGTATTTTAAAGCTGCACACATTAAGGTTTGACTTGACATAACACTGGGTGAAGCAATCAAAAATTTGGGGGTCAAAGATGGTAAAGTTATTGAAGAAAATGTTCAAACCCTTTAAGTATCTTTATCATCAGTTTGTGATAAAATATTGTGACTATGTCACACTGTTGTCATTATATACTAAGCTAGTACTAAGGTATAGAGGTTAAAGTCAGGTTCATATGCATACGTTAGCTCTATGCTAGTACTGTGATCAAAAGAGTATTACTAAGATCCTAATATTAGCAGTGTGCTAATTCTAAGATTTAAATATTAGTACTAAGCTAGTATAAAGATGTGAAGATCAATACCAAAATTTAAAGGTTAGTACTATGATATTACTAAGGTCTGGAGGTTAATATTCAGCTAACACTAAATTAATATGCAGATCTGAAGATTAGTACTAAGGTTTAAATGCTAGTACTATGCTATTACTATGCTAGTCACAAGCCAGTACTGAGCCAGTACTAACGCTTTAAAAGTTGGTAATCACAGCTAAACCTGTGTATTAACCTTTATATCCTAATATTGGCTTAGTGTAGAATGATAATGATGTGTGATGATCACAATATGTTCATTATCTTTGATAAAAACAGAGTGAAAAATGATTTTAAAACCTTTTATCATAATTTTATTTAAGAGATTTAAAATAATTAAAAAGATAATTACTGATACATATGTTATCACCTTTTTTCCAATCTTCATCTTCTCATCATCTTTAACAAGAAACATATTGATAATATTTTTGAGTCCTTTTATCACAAATCAACAGGAAAGATGGGGAAAAGAGCTAAACTTTTCTTCAATATCTTTACCATCTTTCACCTTAAATTGTGAATTTTTTCACTCAGTGTCAATTTTACAATCTTTCATACATAATTATCATTCAATGTTTTAAAATCTTTTTTGCTACTTTTTTTGAACAAAGATGATAAAAATATTGTGACTATGGCACACTCTTGTCATCATATACTAAGCTAGCACTAACATATGGAGGTTGATACTCAGGTTTATATGTTAGCACTGTACTATTACTATAGTCAGAAAGGTAGACTAAGATTTTAATGCTAGCAGTATACTAATATCAAGGTTCAAATATTAGTACTGCACTTGTACTATGCTAGTACTGTGCTAGTATTAAGGTATTACTAAGGTCCAAATGTTAGTACTATACTAGTACTAAGGCTTTCAAAGATTGTGCTGACAGTTGAAAATTAGTATTAACCTTTATATTCTAATATTGGCTTAGTATAGAATATAATGATGTGACATGGTCACAATATGTTCATTATATTTGACATAAAAAGAATGAAAAAAAGAATTAAAACATTTTTATTATCACCTTATCTAAAAGATTGTGAAATGATTGAAAAAAATGATTGCTAATATATCATCAATCTTTTTCTTATCCTTTCATCATCTTCAACAAAAAAAGATGTTAATAATATTTTAAATCCTTTTATCACAAACTGACAGTAAAGATGCTGAAGGAATTTGAACTTTTTCTTCAATATCTTCATTATCTTTCACCTCAAATTATTGATTATTTCACCCAGTGTAAGCGCTGATGCATTTGTGATACCCTGCACACTGGGTGAAGCAATCAATAATTTGAGGTGAAAGATGGTAAAAAGATCAAAGAAAAAGTTCAAATCTTTTAAGCATCTTCACTATCAATTTGTGATAAAAGTCATTAAAATATTTTTAACAT